TTTCATGTTGTATGTATAACGCGTTTAATATATTAACATTAGGTTACTGTTGATAAAAAAAACAGTAGCCGGCTATTGTATTGCGATATCGAAGGCACTTTCTACCCTCTATTATCCCGTTACCTTCATAAAATGTTGATCGACTCGGGGCTCAAATGTTTTGGTCAGTTTAATTAGGGTCGCACGATTTGATCGGCTTTTTTATGACCTATCGTACTAGTTAGAAAGTTTTTAATGTATTAACAACATGTGTTACTGTTTCAAAATGACCGATTGAATGAATGAATTGAAATGAATGATTACCCGATCTGAATTTAGTTAGATGACACTTAATATTCAACAATATATCACGGAAAGATATTTTTTAATTACAGTCTAAATTAGCAATATTATTAATTAATAAATAGTGTATTTCCCTGTATTCTATAAAATACAAACCAAATTGAATCGAGTAAGGTCCTGTGTCGTTGCATCAAATATCTACGCTCCTTATTCCAGCTTATTTTCGTACAAACGCCTCTGAAACATTCGCTTCTTATACATTAATGAAAATATTCTTTAAAACACGACTATACTTTAACACAATACATCGAGTTTGTAACACGTTAAGCTATATTTAAACTTTTTTTTTTTTAAATGAAACTAACATTTTTCTTCCGACGTTTCGGCTACTTTACAGTAACCGTGATCACGGGCAGATGAGATGCATGTAGTTTTTCCAAAATTAAAGTCGCGTAGTATCATCCGAAAAATATTGTTTTCATTTAAATTAATAAAACTCGCGAAAATCTTAATCTCATTATATTCAAACTTATAATATTATAAATCTTTATGTATATATGATTAATATATTTAGATAATAGTAAAGAAAACCGTGCAATATATATTAAGGGTGCATATAAAAATGCTAGGAATCATTAAATACAATCTAGACGCAATGCAGATAATTTTAATAACAAAAAGTCGTAGCATCAAAGGAGCTCAGGTTTAAGCGTGTCTACTATAATGGTTCGCTTTGACCGGCTAGATGGAATTTTTAATGCAATAATTCCGATAATTTATCGCTGGATGGCTGGCTCTTGTGGAGGACGAAGGGGGAAATTGGATTTACTTTTATGAAACAACAATTCAATTCTTATTATGTACTAAGAAATTTCATTATTTTTAATTATTATTGTACACTATATGAATATATAGATGTGTAATACATTGTCACATGCTTAACTGTTAATTGGTCAGAGTGAAATTAAAAGAATATTTAATATAAAATGTAATTCAAATACTTTGAGTACGCTTCGCATTTAATAATGTATAATTAATATATAAAATTAAATGAAATCTAGCTAAAGTCGTGAATGAAGTTCCGAGTAAAGAAATGATATTAATTACTGTCTGAGTTTATTATTATAAGAATACTTAAATATATTGCAAGATTATATCAAAAGACTAGCACAACATCGTTTCATGCTTTACATTTTACATTATGATTTATTGCTACTGAAAATTTTCCATATAAAGTATAATGAACGACACTTTTAATGAAACGGCTAATTCAGAAGGAAATGGTAGCAGTGACCAAAACATCTGATAGCTGACTTGACACCACGCCAAAAATACTAAGCATCCTTTCTCATATGTTCATATGCATAATTAACAGTGGATATTAAACATTAATGAAGCTATATCACTACAAATATCACATAATATATTCAACTATAAAAATGTACTGAACTAAATATATATAAATATTTGTTGCTCACGGTAAGTAACACCGTTATCCCTCAATAATTCCTATACGGCCGTATCTAACTTTTCATTTCATTTTCCAAACTTTTAATCTCAAAGTGCCCGTGAAAGAAAAATGGAAGCGTTAAGAAAATCGCCAGAGCCACCTATTATCAACTCCGGCAACTCACATAATTTTTATACCGGCTCGAAATTGTACGGTTGGAGCTCAGAGGAATATGATATGAAACAGATGCACGCAGAATCCATTTTCGTTATATAAAAGGCTGGCGCTTACGTCTCAACGTCCGAGACGGATTGTTACAGAAGAGTCATAAAAAGTAAGATATTAATGTATCGCGGGAGGCATTAGACGGTCTCTGGATCGATTTCTGTGCATAAAAAATGCTAATGGCCCGTGAGAGGGTACATCGCGCTCGGCTTGGTGATTTATGTGAGGAGTTTGGCCAACTATTCGCGTACCGATGTCATCTGAGATGCTTAGACAGGTGGTGGGCTGACGCGAAAATGGAAGCCGCTAGCTACTTTGATGTTGAAAGCGATCTTAAATATTAACGTATAGCCAACATGGAACGAGAACCATTAAATGGACCAATGCTAGTCATAGTTTTTGTAAGAATATTTTTCATTCATATCTCTTCAGTGGTTCTGATGTGTAAGATGCTGTGAAAATCTCTTCAATATGTTCAATAGCAAAATAAGCAATGATTTCTATAACGTTGAATGTTTTTGCTAATACATTTGTTTTAAAAGTTCTCGTTTTCAATTTACACTGAAGATACGGTTAGGTTAGTCGTTTGTTTAAAGATGTCTCTAAATTTTAATAGCAAATAGTTCGACAATGGTAACAGATTTAACTTCAACACATAAAAACATACGGGATTCGGTATTAATGACGCCAGACTAGACTCGTAATGACTTAGTAAATGTTTTTTTTACACAAATCAGACTTCAATAATTAATTTATCGTTGTTTTAATTTTCTATTAAACAGGGATTTTGTGGTTTTATCATAATTTAGCACCTAAATTATTCTTTCTAACAAGTAATACGAAACACATAATTCCAATAATGGGTTTCGAAGTGTAGGAAAATTTGTAACTCCTAACGCCATCTAGAAGCGAGTAGCGTAAACCTCTCTCATTTTAACTTCGTGCTTGAGAACAACGAATGTCGGATGTTTTTCATATAAAATGGCTTATATGAAGTTCAGCTTATATCAATTTCTTCTTGTTTTTAATGAGTCTGTATATTACTTTATTGACACTCGTTGTTTGTTTATACTCTATTCAAAAGCTTTGCGAAGTACACATTTAGTCACTTCTCTAGCGAAATCTTTATTTACAGTGTAATACGAAAATGCCCGCGGCGTTTCACCTTTATTTGCTTAGCTAAATGACATTAAATTTCGTGTGCATTCTGCACAAGAACCATCATAAAACGATAGCAAAGTTTTCATCAAAAAAAAGTATCACAGTGCTCCGGCTATGACGAATACAACTCAAACGAATCCACGAACAAAATGTAGCATCTAAAATCTAGGAGAAAAATATAATTTAAACACGACCGCTAATCTTTGCACACAGCGTCTCCGGTCACGTATTCCAAAATGACATAAAAAAATATCTGTCCCGGGCACCGATCGCGATACATACGCCAGGGGAATATTTTAATTCTTATTATTATTAAATATGCCCAAATTATCCACCCTTAAATGGGCCGCCTTGTGGAAGGCTTAGCTATGTACGTGCATCTACAGTGTTAACCCCCCTCTATCCCCCATTTCGCCCACTCAAAAAACCCCAGCCTTAATTTTTATGACTTGTTTGCATATTTAATTCCGTCACTGCCCAATATTATGAACATCGATTGTATTTTATGCGACCCCCATTTTATATTATTCCATGTGTACAAAATTTTTAATTTTAATCCCAACAAAATACTTGGACATTCTGATCACGCATATCCATTCGTTATGTCCACTTTTGCGTTTACAAAAAAAAAATGTAATAAATTTATTAAATTAATTTTACATTCTGATTCTAAATAAAACAACGCTTAAGTTTAAATGTGTTTCATTGTATAGTCGAAGCTTTAGCGTAGATAAGGATTTAGATTTAAAGGTCGTCCTACTATTTATAGCGTTTGTTCTTTTTTTTTCCTTCTATTCCACAATAACAATTAGTTTAGTCACTATAAAAATGTTCCAAAATTGGATTACTGTTAATTTAATAAGCGGAATAAATAAAAACAGAGAACAAAAGAATCTCTTTATTAGAAGATATACAAATCAATAGCAAACATTATTAATTTGAAACCCCCTTCCGCGCCGACTGAATCCTTGGCTGGGGATTTTACGACCACAGAGAATTAGGAAGGGTTAACTCACTTCGATTCTTTCCTATAATCACTGACTAATGCAGTGTCCTTTCATTATACCAACCTACCTTTTCCGCGTGTCATTTAGTTAATTTAGATTTCTATAAATGTTTTGTAAATGTATTTCGTTGTTAGTAAATGTCTAGTGTTTTAAACGTTTTAACTGTGAGTTAATTAGGCGATTCGCACTAAGCTCTATGTCCTAAGATTTCCGAGACAGCCCCTCAACATCTCAGACGGCGAGGTGATACTCAGCATTTCACAGTCCATGATCAAGACAACTTTTTCAATTTCCTTGCTAGCCACCATCAAACGATAAACGATTATACGTAAGAGGAAACGAGCCGCGCCATTGTAATGAGAAAAGTAAAAAAAAAACGCACCAAGCGAAGCAGCGGCTCCTTTTTGTACTTTTTATTGATTAAAAAACTTTCTTAATGACATTTCTACGTCGAGATAGTTCCCTGATGATGGAAGCGTAAATATAAAGACTGGACGGATATTATCTTTAAAATTTATACACGATAGTTTTCCATACCAAGCATACTTCGTCTCATATACTTATTAAATATAATATTATACTTATTAGTAAAACAATATTAAAAGAATTGTATATTGATCTTATATTTATTGCAATTATAAGCTGAAATACAGTTAAGTCACAGTTTAATTGTATATAGAAAGTTATCATTCGTTCTGTTATCTTCTAATTAGTATAATAACAATTATTAATTGATGATTCTTTTGTTTTATGTTATGTATTCTTGTTTATCAGTGAGGCCGATATCTCTCGCTATGAAGACGTGAATGGTCATCTGTGTGACATATTTATCGACTTTTAGTATAGATACATTGTGTAACATATATTATTGTGTGATGTGCTGGGAAACCATGAGTGTGAAAGTCGGGTTCTTCCAGAAACTCCACTTGGTATCGCCGCCTGCGTTCTCAGTGGATCGCATCACCAGCAGCGCTTGTGGGAGCCGACTCTGTTTGTGGGGATCGAGAGGAGTGATGGTGCTAGAACTACCTTCGAGATGGAGCCGTGGTGGCCTGTTCGATTCCGGCAAAAAAACTATCCTTTGCAAGTGAGTGTTATAACGTCATACTTACATAATTTCAGTATAACATACATACACATGCAAAACTTTAAAGGTTTTATAATTTATTCGCCAGATTCAATTTATACTAAGACATGAAAGACGTACATGTTGAAAAGTAAATATTATCTTCACTAGTGCCATTTTAAATTCCTTTTAACGTTTCACGAGTGTATGTAATGGGGATGCATTAGTGAGCTATTATATGTTATAAAAAGTAGATACAGGAGCTTCGTGCATCAGAAAGGGCCACTGCGGCTACTAAACAAAACACCTAGCTCCTAATAACCTCTGATAAGTTTAAAGTTGGCACGTAAGCACCATATACTTTATACTATCACGGTAAATTTCGAAACCTATTAAGCCGCTCGATGCGACTATAATGTTAGCCCGAAGCAGCGATTATATCAGAGAGCTAACAATGCTTAGACACGACTGAGTATTATTGAAAAGTAACTGCTATCCGCTATCTTAACGATGTTATCCAAGTTATGACTGAATCAGACAGTCTATACACTTCATTATACTACATATAAGTTTCCTTAAGATCAGCTTGTAATAGAGTTACGAGTTATATTCGGCAGCAAAAATTTTACATAAGTATATCTGGTTCATGTACTCGATTAAAATGATTGTAAGTTTGTTCGTTTGATCATCATAATGTTCATAATTTAATTGTAATGACGTGATTGTCTGTGATTAATAAAATTAATTTTATTAAAGGGACCGTATAATTCTAATTGATACAGAAACCACCGAAATATTTCTGTTCAAGTATCTATAAAGCAAAAATCTGTATTTCAAGTCACTCTTTTGTACATGTTATCTTCGGATTTGCATATTTCGGCAGTAAAATTAATTTGAAGATTTGCCCGCATCCACTTTAACGGGGAGATCCGAGGGGTTTTGGTTTTCTGCATTCGAATCTGGATATATAGATTGTGTACATCTTGGTTTTGATGGCCTTTTTGATTTTATTACGAGACAGCCGGGGATTTTGCATTGAATTTGTTTGTACAAAACACCGTCTTTGTCTACTTATTGAGCTCGGTTTTTGCTGTCAAATTCAGAGCTCGAAAAATTAAGTGAATGATGGCCCTTATAAATTCTTATCTACTACTTAACCTTTATGATACGTCTGAGACATATTATATATACATATAGGTAATATGTATATCTATGATCTGTGAAGAATATTTTATTAATAAACTTATTCTTTGATATTTTGCTAACCATCGAGTCAAACTCTTTGTATTATCGCTTAGTAATAACCAAATAAAGGTCTAAGTATAAGATGAAGAAATTAGCATATGATCCGTTAGACTAATTCAAGCCATAAACGTTAAATCAAAACGTTAATTTTATATTCTATTTATATCATACGACACGATATCCCTTCTAAATATGCTCAACATTAAATATCTTGTAGAAGAAAATATGAAAATTTGATATGAATAATAATTGCGACTGTCGATTTTGTTAAAAAAATATATATATGGAGGTCTAGTGATAACGATGATAAACTATATTGAACGATTACGACACGACATATCGTATGTCGTAAAAATGCAGACAGACTTATGATAATAGCCGTTAAAAGCACACAACACCGTTCCGCCCGTTCGAAATAATCCTTACAACTAATATTAGCAATAAACAGCCCTTCCACACTAATTATGCTAAGATGTTTTGGCTAAAGTTACCGTCTGAGGGGATTTCGGATCTTGACAGTGCATTACGGGACTTAAGACTCGGATTTCGGTATTTTTTTTTTAATAACAGTTTCATTATCTTACACCATCGCAGTTCCTGTACATTAACGATAGTGCCACAGCAATACGCTAAGTCTTGAACCTGCTTTGCATATAACTTCAAGTAAAGATGGTAAAAATGAGATTGTTTAGAACAGGAAGTCGTAATGTTCATGCTCAAAGCTAACAAATTCTACATTATAGCTAAACGCTACATTTATTAGCCGGCTGCATTATGTTAGCCGGCTACAATAAACTTTGATAAGTCACCTTATCGCCGCCCTTGCAGACCGATCTACAGCAAATACGAATTTCATATTTGCATATGTTTAGAATTGTTAACTTCATTATATTATCTTGAATAATAATCATCTTATAACATTTAAATATATACATTTATAATTAACTATTTTTTTAACATATTCGATGTCAAATTCGCGAAATATATTGTACCAAAATCTGTATTGTCATAAATCTTATCTGTTATTAAATAATTTCATTACGATCTATTTAGTCTTTGAACTTGAACAAATACAATTTTTTACTATTTTTACATCAACTATCTATATATATCTACATATAACTACATCTATCTACTATATATATAACTGTCAACTAAATATCTATTACTTATAAGGGTAATGTATTTTTCTAGCGTTATTTAGATTGCTGCTAGGCTTTTATATTTTCGATTGTGTAACATCTTGTTTAAACTACACACGTCTTAGCGTCCAAAGCAAGTAATTAAATGTCCATATTGTCGCAGACGGACCTCAAACAGCATTCGATCCTCTTCAAACAACAGATCCGCGCGGGAATTGAACCCACGCCTTTTATAACAACGTCCACAATATGTTTGCACTCGATTCTAAAGAGTTTTATTGTTTATAACATAATTGTGTTTTTATTTTATTTCAATTGAATTAATTATAGGTTTCGTTTTATAAAGAATTATTTGTTTACATTGTTATCCAACAAAGCTGAAACTTCACGACAGAAACCTTATTGAGGATAATAATTTTTTACACAACAGATTTTTATAAGCGTTATATAAATTATATGAATTTATTAATACTAACCGAGAGTCAAACATTCGTGTATCCTAAGTCACCGTTCAAAGGGCACATCAAAGAGGACACGACAAAACAAACACTTGCCCTGAGATCAATAGATATATTCCCATAATCCTTTGACCGCTTCCACTAACACAGTAAACCGAATGATCCTGTAAGACTCAATTACGGCTAACCCTGATTTACCCACGACCGATCCAATTTGTAAACGGTACCCGATCGGAGAAAACTATCAGCCGTCGGCTACAATCCAATTTGTATCTAATCCGAACAAAAATTGGGTCCAATATGCCGTCTTCCTCCACCTTAACCTTCGCAACCGATATTGCCTAGTCATTCGAGTGATGACCACGGTGTGACTGTCTGATATGGGACATTCGACTCAATGTCTTTACTATTAAGACCTCTCGGTGTGATTCCATCTGAACCGCAATTATAGACCACAAACTATTTTATCTTACACCCATGCGACAACACTAATCTGATTACAATCTATTGGAATTGAATACGAAGTTGTAAGTCGTATATGGTATTGTCACGGTGCTTTCGGTCTAATGGTTCGAGATACAAGTAATGCTTTATTTTATATACATATTTGTTATTATTATAATTGGCTTTAATGTTCTAAGGCTTCAATAATAGCCGTTGTTGGGTAATACGAGTTAAATTTATTAATCCTCTGTTAAGGTTAACCATTAATTAACCTTAAACGAACGTTCTAAATCAGGTCTCAATCGGAATTGATGGGTGGCCGCGTGGTTCGGCTTCCTTAAACCAATTTTCCGTTTAATCCGCAGCCTTGCACCCCATGCGGGTAGACAAATTGACTCGTGATATTTTTGGGACTGATTTGGACCAATGTTTTCAGTGAGATATGTTTGAAACTGTCAATTAGTGTTGGATATTTAGAAAAACTAAAGATATATATTAATAAAATAAATATTCGGGAAACAGTTTTTTTTTTGTTTAAAATAAACTAATTTTAGAATGTTGTATAAATAGTACTAAAAATAAAATACCCTAAGATTCAATGAGCAGCTCATTAATGCAATATAAATATAGTCGTTATAGAATTAAAAGCCCTATATAGAAAAAAAACCGTTTTCATGAATCGTAACTGTTACTTCTGACATTACGTTCTCTTGCTAATAGTTTACACTCAGATAAGTGTCTTTAATCCTGATCTCAATATCGTTACACGTTCAATTGGTCAATGTGCAAACAAGACGGTTTGTTCAGGCAGTTTGACCGAAGTTGTTTCAACAAACATTGTTGCTGCGAATTAAGACGTGAGATTATCACTGTAGTTTAACGAGATGTGATCGGTACTCGCCTGAATATATACATTGAGACGCGAAGAATAAGAAGAGAAGTTCTTGTTGTACAAACATTAGTTCTAGAATGTTCATGAAACGTATAAGTTTAATTTTATTGTAATTTGAGTAGTCTAGTATGAACCGCCGCTGGCGTATGTAAGGTGAAATTCCCACGGTCCTCTACTAAACTAATCGCCCCCGTATCTCACCGATTTATGGTAAGATCACACAAAAAGTCGTCTTTTATCCCTTTACCTTGGGGAGCAACCCTTAAACCGCCGGACTGCGTTACCGGTATCGATGGCAAATTGGGGTTGGCAATTCTTATAAGGCTTAAGGGATTCTAAGATGCTTGTAAAAGGGGCTTTTTATTGGATCCCGATTTTTTGTAGATTCTATCAATGTCCCCCTGTTACACTTGTTGAATTCTTTACACAACCTAATAAGTCGAATGCTGCGAACCCAATCGTCGTGATCAATTAAACTCATGTACATATTTCACGAAGAATGCTACTCATTAAAATAATTGTATTTTCACAAAATTGGAATTTTCAAATTAACTTCCCGAACAATGCATCCGTTATTAACGTCAGTAATTTATGCGATTATACATATTTTGCTTAATTTATTCGAACTGTTATAATGGCGACGCATTTAATTGCGGCACGGGCATCGGATAAAATAACGTAAATATAAAATTAAAACTTCACCAATGAAATTTCACAGGTGGTTTCGTTGAGCAATTAACGATCCCGCAATCCAGCGGTTTAATTCCGAACGAAAGTCCGGCTAAACGAAAAACAGGAGCTCTCCAACCGAAAGGGAATGCGATGAAAAAGGCCCGATGTCCACACACACTTGAGGAGCAGCAATGAAATTACAAGCGGTCGCTGACGCCGGCCGTAATATCATTCCAAGCGAGTCTTGAAAACGAAATTAAATTTTGCATGAAATGAAACAAAATACAAAGAAAGTGGACGGACAAAGGGCGAGTGTTGTGTGGAAGTGCCGGGTCGCGGTTAGTTAGCGAGCAGCGGACTTATCGCACTCCTAGCACTGTGTAATTCATTACTAATCACATTACCGTCTGTGCGTTTGTTTAACTCGTCCCTCGCTTCACTAGTAATATAAGATGGAATGTTATTAAAGTCTGCATTCGTTCTCCCGCAGCGGCGTGCATATAAAATATTATTCCCGGGAAAAATTCGTGCATAACAAACGTCTGTTTGATATAAAATGTGATTTAAATACAGGATTCTCTGCGGTTCCTGCTGTACGTACATATATCGAGTATTAATCAAGGCGCACATCATTAATGAGAGCATTATATCATCGGGCAATCGTAATGAGGTACACTAGAGTACCCAAAAATCCGGTGTATTAATATTATCGCATATCCGGCCGGCGGAGTTTACTGGGAGAATTTTTAATGGTACGCTTTAATTATTTTGGCTTGCGAGGGAACCACTAAGTTCCATTCACATTAGAGAATTCATTTTTGTTCGCGGAGGCGCCTGCCCGATGAATTATTAAGAGCAGTGCCGAAAACTGAAAATTGCCGGATCACTGTATTCCGGCACGTATATGAGGTTGTCGAGGATTCCGTACCCGTTTCTACATTATGAAGGGACCTAATTATCTGACCGACGTGAAGCCTCCTTAATAATGGACAGCGCGACGCCAGCCAACTGATTCCGCTAATCTTTTTAAGTTTCGTGATCATTCGTTAATGTATAACCAGACATTTGTACCAAACTAGCGTAACTTGTCTGTGCTTTAACACAATACTTAATCAAATGACTAAACTACAATCAATACTAAATAATAAAGCAGAATGATTCAAATTGAAATCTTATCAAACGCAAGATCTCTAACTAACCTACGATATGAACTATGTCCCAGACTTTACACAACACTAAAACGTCCATCTAGATTAAAAACACTGATTCCATTAGTCTCTCAACAGTAACAGTAATAAACATGGTTATTCATAAAAATATTATTTCACATTAAACATTGAAGCAGAGCGTTAGATAACATTCTAGAAATTTATCTAAAAAGCGTATATTTTATCGAAGTTTCCATTATATAAACGGTTTAATTCTTCACTCAATTCGGAAACAGATGCAGTGGTGCGCTTTATGAATATGCATGTGGGAATCTAGCTTTGTTAGATGAATAATATTCACAGCGTCTATTGAAAAACGTATGTGAGAATTCGCTATTGTAATGTCTACTGTTACGGGGAAATTAATTAATGTGAGTACATCTTTTTTTTCATTTAATTTTTCCATACGTCACACTATTTATACAGACGAGACATTTCAATATCCAATTGAAATTATCCTGCCACAGTATTTTATAAAGCGTAATGTTTTTTAATATCAATTAATTAATTATGTGTTATTTATATGTTTTGCATTAGCTCGTTGTTCGAACAGCTTAGCTTTATAGTGTAACTTGCAAGCTGTGTTTGTTTTGGATCTCGAGCTAGTATCAAGCTCACAAAGCTGTTATTGCATTTGCTATCTAACACAGGTCTATCTAAACACTACATATAACTCATAAAACTGTGATTTTTTTAAATATTTAATCGTATGAATATATTGTTTAGAATATACAAATAGTTTAAACAGTGAACAACGTTTTCGAAATCGGCTAAATGTAGATATTCAACACTTCACTCTCTAAACTATTCATGAGAGTCTTAACCTCACGATGAAGTGTTGCCCACCTGACCTCCACAACTCAGCGTTCGAGTGACCGCTTTGTTCAGAGGTACGATCTATTTATTTTTTGCCACTATTAGTATATTGTGTGATTTAAATACGCTTAATGCCTTTTATTCGTCAGACTGTGTGTACTATTAGCGTTTAATGAACGATTTATCAAAGAGCGACTTCATTCTGACTGAGCATTCACTAGTGATGTTAATAGACATCGTATACAAAATTGAAGTGATACTTTTGCTTCAGACATGATCTTAATGCATATTTGATAACATCAGGGTCCAGTCTTCAAATGATATGTAAACTCGCAAGAGTAAAATCAATTCCATAGCTGCGGAGGTGTTATTAACATATTTTTGCGATGCCCCGTGTTATATCAAAGGGTTTTACACTCAAAAATACGACACATGCTCTCATTAACTTTGGATCACATAAGAAGCTACTCTGAATACTAATTGACCCAAAGAGTTTTAAAAATATAGACAGTGTAAGTAACGCGTGGTTTAAAACGAATCATTATTTTATATGTGACTTTGTTTTATTTATTATTAGATAAAATTAGTTAAACATTTTGTTTCTTTGATCCTGCTCAACAAAACATAGGTAAATATAAAATATCGTATGGAATTACCTGACCAATATGACACAATGCCTAACTGAAAAAAGACTTTGAATAGTAACATATTGTTTAATATAAAAAATAGTTATAAGTAATCATGTTTTACAAACCACGAGTAATATTTATTGAACAGTAAATTAAGTCGTAACATCAAAACTAATTATTATCTATAGTTATAATAAATTAAATACAATATATAATATTGTACGTGTTATGGCGAATCTGTATGATTATTCTATATCATTCGAAAACTGGGGTGGCAAGGGGATGCTATGGTGTTAATTATACGATTTTCTTTGAAATAAGTTAATAAATATTGGATAAGGTTCACCCTCACCGGCCCTTTAATGAACCCATATACCTTTTGGATAAATAGAGTCAATCGTTAGAAACGTACTGATGTTACTCAATGTTCATAGTTTGAAATTATATGCTTTATATTTTGACTGAAATATAAATAAAATAAGTTTACGTTGATATACAAAACATTGCATTAATTAAATTGAATTTTAATTTAAAATACTTAAAGTATATATTTCAATAATAAATAATAAATTCAGTATAAAATCCCTGTTCTTATATATCAAAACAGATAAGAAAACTCCCCCAGTCTATTAAGGTGAAAATTAAGATTTTGATTGCACCCTGCCCCTGATTGATCGGAATTATTTATTCCTACCCACCCCTTATAAATTTCGCTGCTAATTATTAAGTTTAATCTCATTATACATTCACATAGATATTATGAGTGAAGTGAATTTCATTATATTATGTACGTAAGTTAAAAGTATGTATATTAGAATGCATACATCAAACTGAATCTAATCCGAGTTCAGCCTTTCGTTCTGTTTGAGTGACAATGTCCCGCGACGTGTTATTAGCCCTTATCTACATCTTGTCACTCCTGCTACAATCATTCATTGTTTTGCGAACTCATCATACAAAGGGGGCGAATTCGAATCGACATCTCGCGTAAGAGCTTGTAAAAACTCCATATAACTCGACAATGTAATATTTACTGATACGTTTATGTAATATACACTCTATGTTGTTGTGATAAGGATTCATCTGCTGTCTTCCATTGTATTGGTAATTGCTGAAAAATAGAAGTACGGGTTAGGTGGTTGAATTATTTAGATGGTAATCGTGCGTCTGTATACTGATCGTTTGTCTCATCGGAATCGGAAAACGCGTCACCTGTCTCTATTTGATGGGCAACATGTGAGAGGGATGGATGTACATGATTCTGGTGTGTCGTTTTGTGTAATATTTAAAGTTGATGCCGGGGGGGTTGCGAATGGTTCTGTGTAATGTTCATTCTGCGGTCGGCATCTCATTCTTTATCCTTTTGTACCTGAGAATATTAAGGAATAATAGAGCCGCAACGAATGTCGGAAAAGAGAAAAAAAAACACAAGCAAACATTGCGGGATCCCACTAAATAATTAAACTTTTTTGTAACATTGACACGTTAATTAATAGATAGTTGAATCTAGAATTATCTACGTCCTACACTGAATGTCAATTAGTTCGAAGCCACCATCCGACTGGGTAAATCTCACGCGAGGAGCTTAAAACTAATACATTTGGGCGGTGATGGGGGTTGGGGGGGGGGGGTCGTCGGAGGTCGTTTGGGGGTTAGGGGGGGTTCTGGCGTTAATTATTCACATTTTAATTTACGTCGCCGCCCCTCTGGCCAGTGGAGTCGGAAAAATGTCTTAAAATCGACGGACACCTACGAAAGAATATACGTTAGGTTGTTCTGAAATTTTGATCTCTATGTCATATGTGATTTAGATTACTTTTCAATTATAACAAAATTCGTGAATGATTTTAAAAGTAACTCTCATTCTTATTTTAATGCAACATTCCGTTTGTTAAATATATTGTTATTTCAGCAGAATGTATACGAATGTGTTTTTTTTTTTGTATTTATATTGAAAATGTTTGATAAAAATTACATCCATTTGTGAGCGAGGGCGTAAGTGATGTTATATTGATCACTGCCTCGGGATTGTCGATTTAAACGAGGAAAAAATTGTGGCTTCCCACATCGGGATACTGTTAATTATTAATTGGAAGATCACGGATGTTCTATCAACTGAATGAGGCACGAAAATGATTATATAAAAAAAATATTATACTAAATATCAGCGTATAAAGAATCATTATTTAATAAATGTAGTCAGTTATCAATATTAAATTTACAAAAAGAATTTGTTTAATAACTTATTACTTTTATTTTTCAGACCTTAAAAAAACAATATCAAATATATATGTATATATTATAATATACATTGTATATTACATTTAAATATATCTCTTCAATATATCTACATCTTTGGGAGGGTAGAAAAATATGTTGTTACCAGAACAAGTCGTAAAGTCGACCCGCTGAAGTCAATTTGCAAGTAGATATTTTATTCGGATACGCCTGATTTGACTCGTTTTGTTTTATCTAAAAGGATATTTGTTTCTGTTATTTCTATGAAAATAATAGTTGAACTTTTAATTTGTTTAATAAGAACGTATTGTAGGAATAACTATCAATGGAAAATAGATTATGATTGCTATGTAAAGTATATTTTTTGTTTCTATCGAAGTTTTATATTAACTGTATACATAATATAAGAAAACTAACAAAATGAAAAATTGACTAATATTATAAAAGTTAGGAGTGACTGTCTGTTGATTTGGTTTCAGTAACAAATCTAACATTTTCATTGGAAATTTTTTATTGTTCTTTTAACATATATAAATAAGAACTTATAATATGATGTCTGTTTGCTATGTCAATCTATGAATATTAATGGTAAGGGTTGAAATCAATGTTTTAAGTGTGGACTTAACGAAATGCCTCAGAAAAGTTTACATATATATTTATGTTTGTGTGTGTGTGTGTGTGTGTGTGTGTGTGTGTATGTGTGTGTGTATTGGTATATATCGTTAAATGCCAATTAAATACAACCCTCGAGACAATAGCATGAACACACGCAAATATATAATTTATTGATATAATTATTTTTCCGTTAAAACATATATATTAATATAATATATGTACAGTTAATATAAAACAAGAATACAAAGAAAAAAAGAGTATTCGAAGTTGCAACTACCGAAATATAGTGATTCGAGTTAAAAACTGACTGCTGTCTAATTTTTGTGCAACCACAAGTTCTAATTGAGTTTTTTTTTTGTATCCCATATGTTTATTGTATATAATTTAAAATATTGTACATGTATGTGCCTATTAATATGAATCTATCAACTGTTAATGTGCTGGTGGATATTGTACTAGAATGCCAATCAGTGTAAATAATAGCCATACGACAAACGTGAGAAGGTACTTTATGAGATTTTAGTCACTTGCTCTAATAAAGAAAGATATTGTAATTGTCAATGAAGGTATACTTTGAGTAGGTTAAGACGCACGTTCAGTTTATTAGTAATGTTTTAATACAGTAACGTTTTAACGGGAATCAAAGATTGGATAGTATTAATGACTGTTAATTTTTATTTTAACATTTCTTGAGCAAATTATCTTTTTTACTTAAGCAATCCCTTATTTCTAGATTGTTCTTTAACAAAAATCCCAAATGATTACTGAAGGCTATCAATATAAATTAATTTGTATATTTTCATTACGACCTCCATCCGCACCTCGCGGTATTTTACAATAAAATATATACCGCAAAAAAAAAAGTCCATACATTTTTCATTTTCATTAAACACTGTCCGAATATTATCGCCACTTCACAATTCATAATGTTTGATTGCACATCGTACATCAAGAGCGCTTTTATTGGCGTTAGAAAAAAAAAACTCCACCAACCAATCGCCGCACGGGCATTGTCCTGTTCAAATAATCGTAAATTCCGAACGGACAAAATATAATAAATTGCCGATGAGATCTGCGCTAACACTTCAGCAAAAATATACGAACATCCATCGTTTGACTGCCGGACCGTATCACGTTGTAACAGAGTTGATAATGGCTTGACAATTAAAAAACATATCGCAAGACACTAACATTCTCTCTATATTTGCGCAGTGTACCCTTTGTTGTCGGCTTTTTTTCGGTTGTTTCCGCGTAGAGGCTGATAGAACACGTTTTCAAATCATTAAACAGTTTGGACCGCCACCGCGGTCGGAAAAAAGAAAGGTTTTAAAAATGAGAACAGGAAAAAAATCGCTGCTCGAGCCGAGGTGATTGTAGCCGGCGTAATGTACTAGAGCGACCGACGGTTTTGATAATTTGTATACGTGGGAAAATGTTACTAATACCTACAATATATTAATGAGAAAATTATTTAACAATTTTCTTATATGAAAGCTTGTATTAACTATGAGGATAGTTTTTGTAACGTCACCTTTTTCTTACTCGATATACAAAGCTACATATAAATCTACTTAGTGACAAATGTAGTGCAATTTCCTTAAGATTAATCTCGGAATAATGAGACTTTATATGAAGCCAATAAATTGAATATGACGATGGGCTCCAATAGTTTAGAAGTCGAGTATCAAAAACGCTGAACTAAGTACATTGAACAATCATCGGTAACACAGATGTAGGAATTGATAATGCTTTTAAAACTCGCCTTACAATATCATACATACATATATCAAATTCAAACAAATAACATTAGTAGGTTGTGAATTAAGTAACAGTTCATACAGAAGTTGTACCTTGAGTATTAATAATGTTCATGTCATATAAGAGGAACGCATTTCTAAAGTAAATGAACAATATTAGCGTCCGATCCTCCCCCATATGAAGTTTCCTCGTAATAACAGTTGTAAGTATTATGTTGATGTTACATACATAAACATACAACTCATCACATAAATATTATAATTTGAACAGCTTCAAAGAAAATAGAATTAATTTTCTATTTTATATCAAAATAATTAATGACGAAATATTTGATAAGAAATTTAAACATCTTAATTATAATTAGTGGTCATTTTTTTAATTCGTATTTTATTTATAATATTTATAGTACGTCTCAACGGCTTGTACCTTGGCTGATTTATATCTTAAGATCAAAAAAATCATAAATTATACTAAGACAATATAATATAACTAGTATACAATACTAACTCCCGATGTCCGTACATAAATTGTCAACCTAAAGCCATAAAACTTTCGCACCATTAATTCTTTCCCGAGGTTATTACGATTCATATTTAAAAAAAAATCGCTTTCCTATATGCAAAGTAGACCCCGAAGGATCTATACGGATCCGAATGATATAAAATATTGGGGTATTATTATATTTTTTTCATCGTTTTATCGGTCTGCGGGATTTCGGTTCCATTAAACTTTTTTCGAATTTTATTATACGGAAGATATTGTTCTTGTTCAGTTGTTTAATGGCATGTATCGGTATGCCCCGGCTAAGTTATAGACGATGCTAATTGGGTTATATGTTCGACGAAGTTTGTTTGTACGGAGAACGGTTGGTTCTTTGTTACATACCCGATTGATATAATTAAATTAATAACAATACGAATGATGAATACTTTCAAAGAAAAAATATGACTGTTCCGATCTCCCACAATCGGGACCATCAATCAAAAGCAGACGCCGTCGAGGAACGCTCTCTTCGGTACTGTATGGAACGATCGCAGATTGCCACAATCAATTTTCATTTGCTTATAAAAAATAATAATAAAAAAAAAAGGAAAAAATTGAAAGCAATTTTTAATCGCGGAAGAACCGCATAGAATGCTTAGCAGTCAGCCGCAGACAAATCGACTATAATTAATGACAACGTAAGGTTTTTACGCACCGATGCCGATAAAGGAAGGGACAGGGCAAAACAAAACGTGGTGTCGAACGAAAGAAGAATTTATCATCTAGACGGCAGCGACATTCGGTGCGACCGCCAATGTCCATTTGGATAATGCCCAACGCGATTAAAAATATAAAAATACCCCCACGAGGGGGCACGGCGGTGTGGAGGGGGGGGGGGGCGAGGGTGGTTTGACGGAGGACACCGTGCCGAGGACACAAAAGGATTATAAATGAGAAGGAATTTTAGATAATATTTGTACGTTGGATGTGGATTGTAATGCTGGCAGAGATCGGCCGGCGCTACCTCGCCCCCCGCCCCCCGCCCCCCACACGACCGCCGGCTCCCGTTCCCAGTCTCCGCCGCTGCTGCCCCCCCCCCTCCCTCCTCTCTCCGTTCCCCTCCTCACGGAGGGCGCCTTCCGCGATCCTCACCTAATGAGTGTTTGTATCAATTTGTTAGTATTGTATTTGAATATTTTTGTGCGTTCGTTACGATTTTAATCCCCAGCGGTCATGACGGTCGGGTTCGATGTTTTTTGTTTTAATATTTTACAGACCGAGCGTTATTATTTTTAATATATATATATTTATTATACTCCACTCGTTTGATGTAACAGTCCGGACGTCTCGATTTAATAAATGAGTTTTGTACTTTTACGATGCTTGGTAAGTGATCACAAACCGCGTGTCAGACTTGTTGAAGACATTCAAGAACAAACTTTTCCAAGTCATCTTTTCGGATGTATATTACTTACTCGATAAATACATTTTTTGATATGAGCATAAGTTCCAGGTATATCTTTTCATAATAAAAGAAAACAGACAACCGTAATTGAATAGAAATGTTTGAATAAATTTATAAGTCGGCCGTGCGTTAAAACAGTAGCATGTGTAACGATGATAACGGCCAGGGTCCGAGATAAACGTGGAAAAATAGAATTCATCTTCATAATTAATACATTAAAATAATCATTATTTTTCTTTATTATATATATTTTCTTTTGTAAAAAAAAAGACCGCCGTCCGAATCAGAATGAGCGCGAGAAAAGAATAACAGTGAGGCGACACCGCGGCCGCCACGTGTTTTCAATTCATTATCTCGAAAACAAAAATTTCATTAGCCCCGAGATTTCCTTTTTAAATTTAATTATTCATATTTAAATTAAACAAAATATAATAGAGGTCCGCGCTGAGTAAAAAAGCGGCTTTATCGTATCATATTTTATTAACCGAATTTATAATTCTACGGCGATTTGGGGGCGGCCGCGGGGCGGGGGCTGTGTCGGCGTGGTGCTCTCCACCGAAATATTTATGAATGCAGAGCAGAAAAATCCACAATAATATTTCAGGGTGGACCCGTCGGTCTTTACTTACCCTCTGTGATCTATTTAAAAAAGAGCTCCGGAAGTACAAAGGCGCACCGGCTCGGAAAAAAACTGGACACGTATAGAGGTTACCCGCGTTACCCGCGTTACCCGCGTTACCCGCCTTACCCGCCGTACCCGCGCCCGCCCGGCTTTGTCTGATTCTTATTTTTTTTTAACCGAATCGGAACCTTTCCCGGGCATTTTTATCGGTTTTTGTTCCGGAGACACTCGACCCCTATTTGTACGGCGTTTGTTCTAATGTGAGCTCGTTTGTTATTTCATTTTTTTGAACAGTAAAAAGTAGTGACCCAACCCTTTGGTATGCAAAAATGTAGTGATTTACGTCCCCAGATGCTGCCTTGCTTTTTCTCATTCGTTTCTTTATACGCGTTGTTGTCTAATTGCTTTGTCTTTTGATGTTTAGGAGATTTTTGTTAAGAGATCTATTAAAAAATTTAGGGGTTATAAAAAATTTAAAATAGCATAATTATTAAATGTTGACTAAGTCAAGTTAAACTAAAATTAGTTTTATAAATTAAAACTATTTTTTAATTTAATATTGTGGATTAATAAAATATCAAATCGAACATTGAAAAGTTTGGTCCATCATAGCCAAGAACCTTACATTTTCTTGCGATAATAATTAGCGTTTAATAAATATAATTAATAAAATATAAAAATCTCTCATACCCAATAATTAATATCGTCCATTCAAAGTAAAACAATCTAAACAATATGTACATACAGGCCGCTAGATTACCTTAGACCGCAGCGTGTGAATAAAAAATTAAAAAAAATATATAAAAAAAAAAACAACAAAATGGCCGCCGCAATCACATTATCGCGGCGACCTAAGGGCGAGACCACGAATACTTTCCCGGTATTTATCACGGGATATAATGGATGGATCCCGGGGTTTTTTATACCGATAATGGGCCCCGCGTTCATACCACCTGGTTTCAACCGTTTGACCGCAGACATTGTCCTTTAACGTCTATGTTTTTTAATTGTTTTATTTATTATATATACTTAATTAGTATATTAGATTTAATTTATAATTTAATTGTAAGGAAATGTTTTTTTTCTATACAACGTTGAGTTACTGTTTCGAACGAATGTATCTATCATATGAAAGAAATGTAGATATTAATTTAAAATTAGGTATATTATAGAAAAAAAATACTTTTATTTATTTATAAAACTGTATCGCATGTTATATGTTTTATCACATACTATTTTTATGCGACCGTACTCTTTTCAGGAGTGCAACAGTGGACGAAAGATTCCTGTACTCTCAAGGAGAGATACACAGAGTACACTGGCATCCGAAGTCACTCTCACACATATTGGTGCTTGTTTCCGATAACACGATGAGGTAAGAACACGTATTGCTTTCAGAATAACTTCAGACCAATCACTAACCAATTATACGATCCTATACTAAACTACTTTTTATTCTATACTAGCTTTCCGCCCGCTGCATCGCCCGCGTCGAGTTCGGTTATATCGCGTTTCCAAGAGAATCTTTGAAAAATCTGGGATAAAAACTGTCCTATGTTCTTTCTCAAGGTCAACTCTATGTCTGTACCAAATTTCATTAAAATCCGTTCAGTGGTTTAGGCGTGAAAGCGTACCAGACAGACAGACAGTTACTTTCGCATTTATAATATTAGTAGGGATATGTGAACTCCTTGAATCAATTCATGACACGTATACTGTTACTTTTATCATTGTAATTCTTTGTTCATGTTCAATATAGTAAATGAAAGTTTCTCCTGTGTAATTCTTTCAGACTGTACAACATAGCGTTGAAGACTGGACCGAAATTGGTGAAAATCATCACAATCGGACCCAAGCCGGCGGGAGCGTTGGGTCAAACTGTGTTGGATAGTTTAGGAGATACAGCGATAGACTTCACACCTACACCAGATAATGAATATCTGTTGATACTAAGCGGTAATGGAGACGTTTACATGTTGCAGTGCGAACTGGATATGAAAAAGTAAGTTAGGGCATTTTAAACACTAAATTGTGACACATAAGGGATAATATCGCCTGATATGTTATAATCATTATCACTTACTTACAAGTGTAATATATTTATTTATAACGAATAAATTCTAACTAAAGACATCTCAATATACATGATAGGTTGATTAATATAATTCATTAACTGTATTAACACTTTATCGAAGGAGGGTAGTCATACATTCAGAAGCAAAAACAATCTTTGTTCTAAGTACGAACTTAAAATTTTAGTGCTGCCATCTAGTTAGACTTAACCACATTACACATCAGGATATTCAAGACTGATTTTATTGATACAAATATATATGTATATAGATTCCCAAAACAATATGTAAGGCAGACCCTGGCTATAGCAAGGAAATTGCCAGGTGGAAGAAGATATAGAGGATAATCAATTGTTTCAGTACTGTAACAGCCAAATTAAGGGGACCCCTAGTAATGTACCCTCCAGCTGATGATAACTACGGCTCGGAATCGTGTTCTATAGCTGCTGTGGGGTCAGCGAAGACCCCAACACTGGTCATCATAGCCAGTGCATCAGCTGCCCTCTATCACTGCCTGCTATTGCCTAACGTGAGTATTAACAGAGTTGAATGACCTACGAAATGGCTGAAGCTAGTATTTATAGCTATCTAATTGTTATTTTTTTTTGTAAATATTTTTACGACTGATACGAGACGTTTTGAGCCTGTTAAAAATACTTAAATATTGCCCTAATATTACAATGGTTCAGTATTATAATTATTATAATCATTAAAATAAATTTGAGGATTATAGTAATTTATAATTAGTAAGGCAGTTATAACATGACCAATGTTTAAAAGTTTTAGGCGCTTTCTTTTCATTACATATTTATTATATAATAATCTTATATGTTTTGAAATCTCTGATTAGAACATAATTTTCTAAATGGAGACTATAAAAAACTGCATAATTTTATCGAAATTTGTTCATATGTATCGAACCAACGAACAGACTTAGAGGATTTATTGCTCTTTTCTTTACAGCCCTATAAATTGTGACTGTATAAACAGATATAGATAATATTTCTTTTTTTTTTTAATCAGTCCACAGACAAAGAAGAGGACGATGGTTTTGCACTCTACGTCATAGAGTCGGTGGAATTGAATATACCACAGAACAGCGATACACAAACGAACTACGTATATCCAGTGCATTTATATCCGGTAAGTGGAGTATATAAATATTTTATTGTACTAAATTTTGTATACACTAGAAAAAATGACAAAAAAGTTAAGGTAATATATCCAAAATACGATATATAAGTGTCCAAAGTATAATTCTTTATATCTCTGAATATATGTATATTTTAAATATTCTTTTTTGCGAAATTTTATATACAACATGTAACATAATTAACGCACATCCTGAAAGTAGTTTGTTCAGAATCGGTATCTGGATCGATTTTTATAGTTTTTTATGTAGGTCATTTTTTTCTCAAATTAGATAGAACTAAGTAAATTACAGTCATCCTACGCACGCAACACCAACAGCGACAGCCGGCACACATCAAATACCTACGCACGTGTCCATTGACCTTCTAGATCAGATGATTTGACGCCACCTTTTTTTTTGTGGGGGCAAATTAAATCGCTAGTTTATAACACAGAGACAACAAGTTTCGAGGAACTAAAAAATAAGATAATAACCGCCTTTGTAAAAGTGAAAAGTGACACTGCAGTATTATCTAAAACAAAACCACAATTGCGGAAACGGTTATTAAAGTGCATTGAACAAGGCGGTGGACATTTTGAAAATGTTTTAAAACAACAACGCCGTGCGAGTGCAAATTAAACTGTAACTTTGTTTATGATCTTTAAATTATTGTAAATTTTTGATTCACACCATTTAAAGACTTTGTCGTAGGTATTGTGGTGTCTAATCAAATCACGCGTTATCAGCTGTTTAATAATTCTTATTTTTAAATTTAATTTAACAAATCAGTAATTATAAAATATTGGCTTCACATTAAAAAAAAACAAATGTCGACAATCTTAAGCCTGAAAAGTGTGATTGAAAGAAGAATCATAAATCATAATGTAGTTATTACGTGTACTTATTATTACCAACTACTTATTATTATCAGACGGCACTCGGAGAGAGGGGCGCGGGCGCGGCGAGTACATTGTGTCTGTCTGTGTGTGCGTGTGCAGCGGAGTGTTGGTGATAACTGACCATATTATTTGCACGAAATTAGGATAACTAATTTCACAAATAAACAATGCTAACTCACATATAAATAATATTTGGTGTATGCATTGCGTTTATATTATTATATTCTAATTGGGGTGTTTGAAGGTGTGCGTTAATTATGTTACACGTTGTATACAAGAAAAAAAAATCAAACAGATATAACATATTACACTTAAGAATAATTTATATTTAATTGTTGTATATATATATATATATATATATATTTTCTTTCTACCCACAGTCCGGTCGTGCTTCGTATATCTGTGTTCACACTGGAGGCGTCCATTCAGTATTATTACCAGTGGCTAACGCTCTTTGCGAATACGCTGCAGCGAGTGAAGGTGAGTCACCATCAATCAAGCCATCATTCATCGTAAATTCACTTTTAAACTAGGTCCATATATATTACCGATTCGATGCTCTTGAATTTATTCCAATATCATTTATTGTATTCCAATATCATTGAATTTTATTATCTAAAGAAAGATAATAACTCACATCTCGTCTTAATGATCACGGTTGCTGATAAGTAAGTGAAACGTCGGGAGTATATAGTTTTGAAATAACAAAATATTCGCACCATAATCCGAAAAATACTCTTATTAGTTTCATATTGAAACTCCATTCAAATATATATACAAATTTATTACTTTTACTTACTTACTTATATTTTATATGTATATATATACATCTTGTTATATACAGATGAATTGGAATCAGTACTTCAGTTCTTGTACAAGGAACCAAGCAAAGCGCGTCATTTGATATGCGGCAGTTATCCGCCTGTCGGAGTAACCTTCACTGAACCGCCTCTACAAACTATCATCATATTATGCCAGGATGGTGATGCATTGACCAGGTAATAATTAATTTGATATTCTTTTTAGATAGATAGATACAAAGACAGATAAATAGATAGATAGATATTCACCTTCTTACACCTATAAGATTTTAAATAAAGCTTTCCATACATATAAGATGGTAAATGAAGGCTCTCACTCAAAGAAATTTTGAAGTAAAGCCTCTCATATATATAAAATTACAATTTCAGAACCGTAGATCCATTTGACCTAGAGGAAAATCTGTATAAAGAGATTCAATTGAAAAACCCTGCTCTGGAACGAGACGATATTAACGCTATACTGAAAGAGGTATTTCGTATTAACTTATATATATAGATATAATTATATTTATATTTAATATTATTTAATATTTCAGAAACAGAAGATATCCTTCAGTCACATAATACACGAGGTTCTCCAACGTAATTCATCACAGCCGATTTTAAAGTTACAATCAGCTCCAGGAACCCAGCAATGTTTAGAGGTATTATAATATTACTAGCTTTCCGCCTGCAACTTCGCCCGCGTCGAGTTCGGTTATATCGCGTTTCCAAGAGAATCTTTCAAAAGTCTGGGATAAAAACTATCCTATGTTCTTTCTCAAGGTCAACTCTATCTCTGTACCAAATTTCATTAAAATCAGTTCAATGGTTTAGACGTGAAAGCGTAACAGACAGACAGGCAGAGTTACTTTCGCATTTATAATATTAGTAGGGATACGTCCATACTACTCGTAGAATTGAAGGTAATGTATGGTTAATGGAAATATAAAGAAAATAATTCATAAAATTAAACCGAAAATTAGTTATAGACACGATAGCTCTGTTGACTAAGCACCTGGGAAGCGACGTTCCAGAGAATGCAAGTTCGAATCCAGTATTCGACCATTCACTATCTGAGATGTTTTTTATTATACTGGCAGACCCACAACTCTTTCAAAATTATTTAGTAAAATATTCTTTATAGTTGTAGTGCAAAATAAAATAATTATAATAATATGTGTATATGTACCAACTATTTTAATTTATTATATATATAAATATTAACTTTCCAGCTACTCACCCAAGCGACCGTGAGGCTCGCCAGTGAATATATGGATAAACAGAAACGTGCTTGTGACGTCATCACTCACAAGATGGCCGCCCTTAGCGCCATCTCGCGGCAACACAAGGAATGGCTAGAGGAACTACAGGTGTGTGTGTGTGTGTGTGTGTGACAGAGACAGATATATGTCGATATATCTGTCTCTGTCTCTGATCATTGTCGAATTGTGGGTAGACCTTAAATCCTAAGCAATTGTTTATATTTAAATGGTTTTGTGTTTGTGTGTAGATAGAGAAGGGGTTACAGACTATTATATATTTGAATGTATCAACTAGAGTAAAACCAGCTTCTAAAAACCACCTTAGTTAGTTTTTACTCGGTCCATCCATTTTGGATTGTGCAATGAAAAATAACGGCTGGGCATGAAAAGAGGAAATAAAATGACGTCATAATACTGACGTCACCGATGAGTAATGAGAAAGACAATTAGAGGGCATCAGAAATAGAGGAAATTATTTTAATGCAATTACTTGATATACATTTTGTGTGTGTAATTTTATTTTTGTTCTTTTCCAGAAAGAAATTGAAGATGTTAAACTCACGTCAGTCGTGTTGAAGGAGAAGCGAGCGTTGGCGGAAAAACATCAAGAAGATATAAAGTACAGGTTAGGACTTATTCAAACATGAAAATATCTAAAATAATGAGTTCTCAGAAAATCTTACTATGAAATAAATTTAATTTAAGCACTATACTAAATTGCTATTGTCAAGGAAAAAACTAAATTAAACTAAACTAAATTAAATAAATAACTAATAACAAGAATTTAACTGACTATATTTAGATATAAAACATCGTGAGGAAACCCGGGCTTATAGTTTCACAATTATAAGTTTGAATTCACCAACCCGTCTTGAGCAAGCGTGGTGATTATTGCTCAAACCTTCTCAATGTGAGAAGAGGCTCAGTAGTGGGCTCTTATAGGCTGATTATGACGATATTGGTTTAGTTCGCTTAATTTTTATTATAATTTTTTTATATATATTTCCAGATGTTCAATGGTGTCTCGAGCCTTGCGGGCGGGGTCCGGACATTCAGAAGATGAAAAGAGACAGCTGCAAGAATTGGAAGAAATTAGAGCGAGAACACAACTGCTGCAAGCACAGCTGGAAAATACAACGAGTCTGGTTCAAACCCGAGGAATACAGGTCTGATAGAAAAGTTATATCAAGATATTTTAATAGTCATGAGTTATAAGTGTTGCCATGTATATAAATTATATTTATTTTATAGATGAAGAACTGGCGAGAAGATTATATGAAGAAGAACACAGTTCTTGGAAAATCTCATAGTGATAGCATCACATCTATTCTGCAGCAACAGTAAGTATACATTACATATACAAATATATATATATATATATATATATATATATATATATATATATATATATATATATAATATTTTGTATATATACACATAGCTGTTGAAACTTTTTTGATCACCCTGGCCTTTCAACTTGCATAATGGAAGATTTTAGTTGAGACTGAACCTTCAAAGTAAAGAGAACTATAAAACTTGCCGTCCATTTCCTTAATTTGACATAAATTTGAGAACAACATTATTAATTATAGTACAAATCTCCTATTTTACATAATGTATCATATACCCATGATACTTCCACACTAAGTGTAATAAATTAATTGATCTAGAAATATTCAAAATTCAATTGTTACAATTTTAATTAATTTTCTCTATACATATTTAAAATGTTCCCTATTTATATTTTCAGGACAACACAAATATCAATGCTCATAGAAGAAACTAAGCTACTGAAAGATCATCTTGGAATTGTTTAATAATTTAATGTTTTTGTACTTATGATTTGGTTTTATGTTAGAAATAATTAATATCAATGAATGTTTGATTGCACGTGTAACAATTGTTTGATAATAATTATGTTTAAAGAGTAAGTGGCATGCTTCTGTATTTGCATGAAGAAGTTAGGATTGTCCAATAAATATCTTGATTAATTTTCTCATCTCCATTAAAAAAAAATACATTAAAGTATTTTTATGTATTAGTTATGCTTGCTCAATGTTGTTTTAATAATAATATGATGTCAAGTGTAATTGTAGTTACTGTCATTCAGTTTTACTACGTAATACAATACATACATAACAAAGTTAATATCGTTTTATTGAATATTACACTGGCGACGGGGTATAAAAACTTTAAATTAGAAAGAAAATGTGTTAAATTTCATGCATTCCATATGCAAAGTGATAGTCGGGACAATTATATTGAAAGGATAAAATACCGTTTTGAAGCCAATGGTATTACGGCGGATGCGGTTCAAAGGGCAAATTTTTATACCGTTTGTGGTTCCCAAGTTTATGAAACTATTCTTGCATTATTCTATCATATAGTAAACAATATGAATTCAAGTACAATTATTCGCCATCTTCGGAATGTACTCGTTACTCATGGTTTGTGTGAAACGTTAGTATCAGATAATGGAACCTCATTTGTCTCTTCAGAAATGAAGAATTTTCTGATGTCAAATAAAATTAGACATGTAACTACAGAAACATACCATCCCACTATTAATGGTTTAGCTGAAAGAATGGTGCAGACTGTAAAAGATAAGTTGCGAAAGATGGAAGGTATCCGTTGGGATGTTAAAATTCCAAACATGCTTTTAGGTTTGAGAGTAACGCCTTGCACTTCGACGAATAAAAGTTCAAGTGAATTATTATTAATGAACCCACAATTACATACTTTATTGGATACTATACACCCAGACAATCGTCAACAGCAAAAAAGGAGGGAACATTTTCATTTTGTCAATAATTCTCAAAAGTATCCCCGACAAATTTATATACAAAAAAATGATGTATCGTAGTTTTAATAATGGTCCACGATGGTTACCAGGGATAATCCGAAATAGAAGAGGAGCAACTAACTTTAAAGTGGAGCCACAAGATGGTACTTTTGTGAATAGACACATTGATAATATTGACAAATGATGGAAAAGGGAAGAAAGGATGAGAGAATTAATAAAGAAGAGATAAAGAAGTAACAGAATACTACAAGTATTCAATGAAAACGATTAAAATTTTATTGAGATTCATCAGTATTTATTAAACATAACCATTCTTATCAATAAATGCTTAACATAACAGTTTTGAGTATTAAGATTAAGAAACACTGAAACATTTTTTTTATTATTTAACAACACAATATAGTGTATGTGAAAATCTTTAAGTATATACTAAACTTATATCTAATATATTTAAGGTCTTAAAGGACCATGGCTACCATAGGATCATATTTCGGACAACGGGCCCCAAAACATTTTGGATACTCGGGATTCATCTTCAGTGTAGAAGAAATCTTTTCCGAGATTAACGAATTCCTTCATAGACACCTTGCCATCCTATAAATAGGTAATATACATTAATATATAATAATTAATATCGCTACAAAAAAACTCCTAACAATGTTTCTAACTTAACAAACTACTAATAATGAAATCGAAATCTTTAAAAGAAAAATATCTACGATCAAACTAAGGCTCATATATAATTTTAAATATTTTTTTCCTTATAGATATGTAAATAAAATATGTATATAATTTACCGACCCCATTAATGTCGATAACTGCAAACGCAACAGCTGCGTGTTCGTTTGTCAGGCCGAGACATTTAAAGAACAATTTGAACTCATTCACTGATATATAACCGGATTTGTCTTTGTCAACCGCCTGAAACAATTGTTATATTATTAAAATATTAATATAAATAAGTCAGAAATCACAACAAACTTTGACGCTATTGGCTTATGTCACAAAGACACAATCAATTATGACATATATGTCAAAACTATTGCTATTACGCGGGAGATTAGAAATGATTTTGTAAAAAAAAAATCTTAAATATCTGCCTGCGTATTTAAGAAAATATTGTATTATTAGACCTTTGAAAAAATATTGTATTATTAGACCTTGACCTTTGTGAAAATAAATGTATTATTAGAAAAAAATAACGGTAATTCATAAGGAGAATAGAAGACTATTAAAATTTAAATTGTATATACCTTAAACAAATATGGCAGCCAGCGATGAGCTCTTTTCTTCTGAGTCTTATCGTTGAGCACGTGATGCATGTCTTCTAAGTATTGCTCGACAGTTACGAAATTGTAAGGGTCTATGGGTCCCCATTGTTCCTCCCATGTTAACTGTCAAACAAATAACATACCTATAAGGCTTGTCACTTTTTTCAATACCAAAACTGAGGTACGTATTATATTATGGGAATATTTGATAAAACTATATGGTTGCAAAATGAAGTGGAAAAGGAAAATAATCATCAATGAATATTATACGAGATGTATTTAAGTAGTCACCTTTATAATATCAGTAAATTCTTTAGCCTGTTTATCATCTAAATGTCCTAAGGACTTGAATCTCTCCGCTAGGAGCTGGAAGTCGCTGAATGAGATCAATCCATCCTTGTTAACGTCAAGGATATTATGTACTGTACGCATTTTCCTACGCCAGAACTCCGACTGTAACAAAATCAGAAATAATATGCATAAACTTCAAAAAATACAGTACTATGTGTATAACAGAATATCTACAGTCGCTCAGCAGCGCATATAAGACACATTACATTAATTCGCATTCACAACATCTAAGTGTAAACAAAAAATGCCATTAAAAATCATGAACAATATAAAATAGAAATAATACTGAGCAAATCACTCACGCGATCGTATCCCTTGCACTCAGTATCTGAGTCGGAGTCGCTATCGCTGTAGTTTTTCCTCCTGTTTTCCTCGGGCCGGCCGTGCTGCTTGCTGTACCTCCTCATCATACCAGATCGGTCTACATCCAGATCTCTCTGATCTTGGAACGTTTGCAAGTAACACACCTTCCCGTTGCATGACACCTTCGTGTGTATCAACTGAGAAAATACCAATAAAAAAAATAAATATAATACTTAAATCTTTTCACTAATATATTTTTCATTGAAACTAAATAGTAACTTCCTTAATATTTTGACATAACTCAAACTGGGACATAGTTATGGGTTTTTGAACGTATTAACATTTACGGAAGTAACTATAAATTTGAATAGCTGGCTCGTAACATGTTATTATATAACAAACTAACCAGTTCAAAACTAACAATATGACCCCAGATATAACTCCGTTAAACAGATATCGGTTGACCGCAATTGAATCAATTTAAAAATAATGCACTACCAAGTGGACAATTCATAATAAAACCACCTTGTCGCATCCAATTTGTTGATTTAGTGTACATATCCTCTGTATTACTAACAGTTTCACTAAATTTCAAGTCTCATCTGTTATGTAACTAAATAACCCGCTTTGATTATTGTCACTAGTAAACCGGCCCTAAACCTACGTTCAAAATTTGAAACCAACTGACCGCGCGTTACACAAGCGGTCAACGCCCTTATTATCGTATTCAGTACCAACTATGTCAATGTAAATATTTATATGAATATTATTATACATTATTATGTATTTAACTTCATATAATATGCAAAGAAATATTATAAAGATACATCCGCTGAACGGGAATGAAAAATTTTATTCGCGCAACCCTAGGTGGATTGGTAATTTGCGAATTGGTTCACGGTCTCATTGTTACCAGTAATAAATAATCTTCGTCCTTACACCTATCATGTAAAAGTTGCCTTTTGTTATTGTGATTTATTATTTATCGTTCTTGAAGTAAAAACTTATTTATTTTTATACAAGGACAACATTATGTTATATATTTTTTATCAGTTAGTTTTAAATACATATACATCATAGATAATAATTAATATTTACTTCCTACTTAAATAATATGAACAGTTATTTTTTCTATATTCATAACTTACGGCTGTTTAGTCGAAAAATCATATGCTTGAATTAGTTTTGAATTAAGTTTATATAAAATAAAATATTTCTGTTGCATTGATCCTGTATATATGTATATATATAATTTTGGTTAAAATTATTTATTTCCATTTATGTACCGCATTCTTTTTGGGAATTTATAGAAAAAAATTCCACACACATATGCAAAGATCAAATTATTTAACCTTTTAATTAAATTGCATCTGAATTAACAGTAATAATATTATAAAATATAAGATCCTTATTGTATAAATATATAGAATTTATAAGGATGCTCCCTTAAATAAGTGTTACATTTTCGAGTTATATTAAGTAAGGAGTCCATTTCAATTTTGTTAATCAAGTTATATCCTTCCGGCAACTAATTATATATAAGTATGCCAAAGCATGTCCATTGTATTGTTTACATGTTGCGTAACGTCGTAAACATCACGTAGACTCGTTTTTATTGTGTTTTGGTTTCATTGAAGGTCTTAATATTACTTCCTCTATATTTGTTTACGTATAGTAACTACCAAAATTATAACGATTATCGATAGTCATTAGTCAAAACAATATAAAAAATATTTACCTAAGGAGTTTGGTAAATATCGTTACGTTATGCGTTCAAAATAAGACATTATGACAAATCAATAATAATAATTATATAGCTTAAATGGTTCATGTTTGGTCTCAATATTTTAAGCCGGTGCCACACGAGTGGTATGTAAATGTCATAATTTTAGTCCGTCCCTTTTATTGGAGATAATTTTATACAATTATTACAATTGAGTACATAAGCGGTACTTAACTTTCTTTTAATATTTTAAACGTATTTCGTATTTAATACCATCATAATAAAGCATGTATTCCCATGCGGTGTTCGTTTGTCCAAGGGAGACAACAGATAAAAGGTTATCAGAGGTCAAATTTTGTAAACTAAGTAAATATTGGTTTTATTTTTAATTTACACTATTGTTATTTATGCATTTCATACTTCCAAAAAAAGTTCATCAAATTTTTCTTTCAATGTAATTCATATTATATTATTTTAATATTAGAATAAGACATTTAAATCTCACAAATATTTTTATCTATAATTCTTTCAAAAAATGCACCGAAATTTTTAGAACCGGAGATAGGAATGTAACTCTTTTTGAGTTACAAAAAAATTGATCCGAGCCTAACAAAAAAAAAACATAAACAGGTAAAGAACCAATGAACTACATTCACGTTCATTAATTGTATAAAACCATTAAAATCTCTATGCGTCTTTGGTAAATATAACATAGAAAAATATATAAATACAATAAATATTAATATTTGTTTAAAAAAATTACCTTTACATAATTTTGGACGGAAGAGTTTGAAAATACTGCCGCATTTCTCTCCAAGCTCAAAGCGGCTGATTTAAATCCCAGTCTCATAAAAGTCGCCATCTTGTCACAATACTATCACATCTAAATTAAAAATATTTTATAACAAAACAATGAATAACAAAATGTTTATTTTAAATTTAATTAAAAAAATATTCTCTTGACAGTCAGTTTAGGAACGTGTTCAGCTTTGAATGCTCTCACTAAACCATCTGATTTTAAAATTTCAATAACCGTTCATATATTCGTATCACCGCGAGGGTGGGGCGCGCGGCCGCAGACGACTGGCCATTAAAAAATATACAATTTGTGGTGTTAAATGGTTAATAGAAGGGCTTTATTAGGATGCACATTTTATCGAAAGCAGACGACTCATTATCTCCATGAGTTTGTTTTGTTTACAAGCGTTTGTAACAAAAACTTGGACTTTCGATTCTGTGGAGGTTGTCAATAGAGAAGGTTTTATATGGCCGTATATTTTTTCGGTGATAAATTTCGAGGTTACACCGATAGGCATATTGACTTTGCATGTACTTACTATTGTTTGTACGTTGTAACGTCTACGCATACGACTCCACGTAGGCATGTCGTTTGCATCGTAATTGCAATTTGGGTTAACGGCATGCTCATATTGTGATAGATAATGTAATTAAAGTTTATTAATAAACTAATGATAATGGATCCATAATTTTATTTTCCTTATTTACTTAATAAGAAAACGATAATGCTTAATATCGTGAGTGTTTTCACGTACACACTCACTGCACTCTATCCATTTAGGGAAAACTTCTCATAAAAAACGATGTTTCTGTTTGAAATAAAAAAAGAAAGGTCTACATAGATCTAAATCGTAATTCTTTACCAATCCAGGGACCGGTTTATTTTGAAACTAAATAGTTTTGGTGTAGGAATAGAGAGACAAGAAAGTAATCTAACTCTAAAAATAAATGCACAGTATCGTATATATAGTATTCTGCAATTGTATATTTAATATTTTAAAAAGGATTTCAGAAAACTACTGATATAATAATATATATTATAATTTTTCTAAACCTTATATTTCGTATTGCCTGAATAACCTACAAATATTAGATTTAGGACTGAGTACATAGTGAAAATTATAATTTTTTGACCGGTAAGCATGCAAAGCATAAAGAAAGGAAAGGAACGAAAGGATTTAAGTAAAAGAGCAATGTCAACTTTAATCTGACTGATGAAAAAATACGCTGTCAGGTCAAATGTCATAATAATTTGATTGAAATGGCTCAAAAACTATTTATTTAGTTGAACGAAGTCAAAGGCAAATCTAGTTAAACCTTTAGATACTGGAGATATAGACGATGCTCGTTATTTACTAACGTTCTACATACGTTTATCTCTAACTGGCGCCGTTATGATTACTTAATTTTTGTTTATTTGACTACCTGCAAGGGGTAAATAAACGGCTTATTATTACATATTAATATGGTTTAGAGAAGGCTCAGTTTATTATCTGATCTAATATATTGATTCAAAAAATCGGTTTAATAGTAGTTAAGGTTAAAACCACCACATAATAAATACAGAAGACGAATAAAGATTTGCATCATTGAATGATTGATGTTAAATACTTTACGCAAAATGAATTCGACATTGAATGCATTTAGCCAATATAAAGCAACCGAAATACGTCTCTGAAAATTAAATACACATTACTATCATATAGCAATCTTTTACGTTTTGTTATTAATTTGAATAATATAAACTTTTCACAATTACGTTCTTATTAAACCCACGTTATTTTTTAATAATTCGTCTAGTTAGGTAGACGTCATCATATTTTTGAGATTTCATTTTATTTATTGAGGAATCCTTCATATCCCGACTGATGGTATTGGGGACTACTTAAGTGCAACAATCATTGAATTATCTGAATTATTTAGACAAACAATTAAAAATTAAAAGAGTAAAAGTGTAAAATAGTAAAAATACAATTGAAACTTCCTCTTTCTTACATTCACTTATAAAATGATATTACATCCCTGTTAGTTGAAGTCCTATCAAAATCAACTCAGCTTCTCAAGATAATAAAAAACAAACAGGTTCACAAATACCTCTTTACATAGTTCAGTATAATATACAGTTCACAGTACAGTTCAGTATAATATATATCAGTACAATATAGCACACAACATTGGCGAAATCAATAAGGAAATGCCACTAACTAAAGAAGAAGAAACAAACAGGCAGACAGACAAACATTTTAAGTGAAAAGCTGGTAATTTGAAACTAACACTAAACTTTGTTTATTAACATAGATTAAAGTATAAAAATGGGCCACACTTAGCTTGTACAATATAGATGAAGTTCTGCTTATACCTATAGGTATTCTAATCAAGAAGTGATTAATTAAAAAATTATAGTAATGCTCGAAATTAAGGTGTAAAAAGTCCTGAACTTAATTATAACAAGAACATTATTTATATAAAATCACACATTTATCTGTGAAAATACTAGTATATTAGGTAAGTTTAAGATCTCAAGTCTAAGTTCATTTTATGTCTTTCACTTGATAAAGGTATAAACTCAAGCCTCATCTTTCTGAATTTACTTTTACTTATTTTTCTCATGAAAACCTCGAAATTTAGGAAATATTTTTGCTCTATAATTTCAATTTCTATAAGGTTAAAGCTCATTTTCTGTACAGAGTGTAACCATCTTGATAATTTGTGCTATTTCTGCTTAATCAATAATTAAGTGGAAAGAAAAAAGATCTTTAGTTCAATACATATATATATTTCAAACCAAAAGTGTCTGTTTAAACAAATTTATGAACAGTTTGAAGGTAGATTAACACTTCATAGAAATGTACAAAAAATTTAAACTACCACAATTGATGTTCGATATATTTATTTGCTTACAAACTTAATGTTTAAATAACACAGATTCATCCAAATAACTATTTTAATAAAATGAGATAAATTTACTATCACTGTAGATAATAAACCATTTCATATAAAAGGTATAATCACTGACTTCACCTGCACATGATAATAATAATTTTTACAATAAACCATACTCTTTAAAAACAATTCATGTAATGTGTTATGCTTTCTTATACTCGATTCTCTCAACTTTGACTTCATCTCCGAGCAGTTTGTACACATATGTCACTACTGTAGAACTCTGAATGTCCATAAGTACAAATGACGGGATGGCATTCCTAGAAAAAAATAATCCAATTACATATACATAAATCAGTTATAATTCAATAAAGTCTCCAGTAAATGCATATTTCAGTACAGCAAACACACTGTACTGAAATATGCAATGGAAAAGTTCTTAATGATTCTACCCATTTGGTCACATGGAAGCATGTTTAATGAAGATAATTTTAGGTATTTATTTTATTACAAGAAAATGAATGATTAACAAAATTGACAGTTATTGACTATTAGTCAGAGACACAATGAAACTTCTCAGCATTCTATGTATTCATCATGCAAATGCCGGGTCCATTGCATTGCAGGGAAAGGAGCTTCAACAGTTAAACACTCACCTCTACTGTCCAAGCTCCTCTTTTCAATGTAGGGGTAACTCTCAAATATTGTAGGGGTAACTACTTTAAAAATTACATTACATTTACCTAAACAGCGGGCTATATGCTCCTGTTGCGGATCCAGGGTTTATATAGAATTTGTTCTCATGTTCATATGCTTCAAAACGATGTGTGTGACCCGATATCAAGATATCTACGTCAAGCTGTCTCTGTACTAAAGCGAGTGACTCTTCGTCACCCCAAGGCACTACTTGGTGTCCATGAATAAGGCCAATACGAAACTGGCCGACTGTTATCACCTTTTGCTCGGGATATGTTGAGTTCTGTTAACAATTCATAATTATTTTATTATTTTCTGGTGAAGGTAGTACCGTCGCCCATGGACATTTGCAACATACATTTGCAGATGTGTTACTACCCTCAATTGGGAAAGGAAAAGGAAAGGGTGGGAAAAGGGAAAGGGCATTAAAAAATATGTTTTTATTTACGCCATTATGGAAAGTTAGGCTTTTATAAGGTAAAGATTTCAAGAATTTTTGTTCCTTCCATTTTAAACTTACAGAATTTTTTTTTAACTATGTAATAAAATTATGTAATGCTTGAACTGTAAGTTAGGATCTGAAATATAAGGTATCTTCTAGAACTCTGTCAAGGTAGTTGGGGGTATGAATATTTTAGATGAATATTTATTATGTAATATAACTGCCACTCTCTATATTCTAATTCAATACTTCTTTAGCTTAAATGGTACTGGACAAGATTCCCCGTAGGCAATACGACTATTCTGTTCATCACAGTATTTGTACATCACAAACAGATATTAATTACTTCCGTAAATTTATATGGCGTTCAATTAGTCATACAACTTAATAAAATATAAAATGTATATATGAAACAAACCTCATCGAAGTCTCCCCTAACAACGTGTACATCACTTGCGAGAGTCTTCAAGTAATCGTAAGATTCTTTGGTACATAGGTTTCCCGAGCACAAAATATGTTGTATACGACCCGGCAGTAACAGCTTTTTGAACTTCGGCGGTAAACTACTACAGCGATGAGGTATATGCAGATCTCCTAACACTAACACCAACTAAAATTGTCATAATAACCAAATAAACGAGGTTTAGTTGCGATAGAAATATTTGAAAACAAGTATTACAAGTTGTGTTAAGTGACTCTTACCATTATTTCGTTGTTCACTTTTACGTAGTTTATGGTCAATATAAAATTTAAAAAGTTTTGGAAGCGTTTTGTATGTAAAATGTAATGTTTAAAGCTAAGTTATATGCTATTCAATTAATATATACACCCACCAATCAGGTAACAACTCAAAACTTCAATGACAAGAACAAATTGCCGTATGATTACAGAGTATACAATGTTTAAGTAAAAAAATGTTATGTAGCTAAGAAGGTAGGAATAACAATCGTTTTAATTTCTATTACTTTAAATTGCAATCATAGATGATAAAATAAATTAAACAAATGTTTTACGAAATTCTTCTGTGGGAAATTATTAATATGAAAACGTTAATTTAGATGAACTATTTGCATGATTAAATCTAATTTTACCAAAGTACCATATCATATAGAAAAGTACCATATCTATATTGAGACAGAATAAAAATAATAGATCATATTGTCTTTTTCTTTTAAAATTTGCAAGTCATATTTTGTAAGCGTTGTAAAAATTATTTTATTATAATAAATCTTTATATATGTATTCTCATCTGTTTATGTGTTAATAGCAATGCATGATCTAATATTTAAAAATAATACAACTTTTACTGAAACACAGAAATTTAATGTTAATTACAAACCTCAATACTATTATATTTTACTTGAAAAGTCTTAATTTTATATTTATTATTCTTATCAAAACAACTGAATAGAAAAACTTCATTAATTATTTTCCTAAGATGATGCTTATACATTCTACATGTTTAAAGGTGATGGAATATATATGGAAATATAAAAAAACAACTCCAAATGAAGAATTCATATTTTTTATGATTTTATTTTAAAACCCCATATATGTAAAGTTTCAACGTCTTATTGTTATAATTGAATTAATATTTAAGACTTCTTAATTCCAATTTATTTCGATATAAGTTATTTTTGTGCTAATGCAAATTATTAATAACTTTATTGCAACACTTAATTAATCACGTCACTTTTGTCTATTATCTCTGCTCGCATCAGAATTGAAGAATTTCATGGTGTTGTGGGTGACACATATACGTAGAAAAATTTTAGCGTAAGACACCGCATTGGCACCAACTGTTAGGAAATGGAATCAATGGAATATGAGCTCGCTAGGAACCTCACTCTGTTGTTTTTCGTGGAGCGCCTGCTCGATAAAGGCGAGCCGAGAACGTTGCACGATCTTTCCTGTCAGTTTGGTGCCAAAGGTTTCACTAAGGAGATGCGTCAGATCGCTGGCGGGTCCCAGTCGGGTCTGAAGAAGTTTCTGGGCCAATATCCCGCGTTGTTCAACATAGACGGGGACTATGTCGATATCAACACGTTCCAGCGGCACCCGAGCGGCGCTGGCTCCTCCTCAAACAACGACTACATCGAAGAGGCGAAGGAATATTTCGCCAGTAAGATGATACAGTACGGCGATGGAACCGAAGTACCTATCAAAAGCCTCCTGGGCCACAGAAGCCAAGCATCGCCACAAGTGCGTCACATTTCTGGGCAGCGCATCAAAGAGTTCAAGGACTTCCTCATGAAGCACCCGGACACCTTCCAAATTATCGAAGATAACGTTGTTCTAGTCAGTGAGAATCATAGACGTGATCATTCACATGCTAACTCGGAGCAGTTTCACAATCTCCCTGTTCCGAACATCAATACGGACACGGCTCAGCAGCTCCTAGACTACGTCGCTCAGTGTATTGAAGCTAAAGGCCCAGTGATGGTAGATCAACTGTTCCACTTAATTGTGTCCCGTTTCCCACAAGAATACTGGTATCAGATGTTCAAAACACCAGCAGACTTAAGTGCATTTTTAAAGATATTCTCTGATAGCTTTCATGTTCAAGCAAACCTCGTGACACTCATTAGTAAACCAAAAATACCTGTAATGTATCTGAATGCAAAAGCTAAAGGTAAGACTGATCCACCAAAGCCAGTTGTGGAGGAGGCACCCGTCTCTCCAGTTCCTCCGCTTGCTGTTAGTCCGACACCTTCCGACGGCATGAAGAGTCCCGCCAACAGAATACTCAGTCCTGTCGAATCTCCTAGAAGCCAACAAGCCAATATAGCAAATCAGACCTTAAAACAAAGAATTAACTCAATTGTTATTAAAAATTTAGCTGAAAACATGGTTAGAGACAGAGTCAACAATCATCTTAACCGAGCGGCCGAGGAAACAAATGGAATGAAAAACAATATGATGGGTGAGGCTTGGAGGCAGAAAGTACTGCAAAGTGCAACCGTCATTGCTAATGCAAGAGAATGTGCAACATTAGTAGACAGCATCATTGGTGGTAAACGCACCACAAAAAGCATTGTATCCTTTGATTGCGAAGGCATAAATTTGGGACTAAAGGGTGTATTGACCCTATGTCAGATAGCTACAATGAATGGTGAAGTATATTTACTCGACATATTGGCATGTCCGGCTATGGTTGTTGAAGGAAAAATTAAGGAGTTACTAGAAAGTGAGTGCGTTGTTAAAATTATTCATGACTGTCGCAATGACTCAGTCAATTTATATAATCAGTTTGAAATCACTCTGAAGAATGTATTTGACACTCAGGCCGCCCATGCCGTTCTACAATTACAACAACAAGGTGTTCCTGTTTATAAAGTTAAAAATCTTAGCCTGAATGCTCTTTGTGAATTATATAATGCTCCGATGAATCCTATGAAGGAACAGTTAAAGAATGTCTATCGCAGGGATCAGAGATATTGGGCTAGACGCCCTCTTACTAAAGACATGATAATCTATGCAGCCTCTGATGTACTGTCTCTTGTGAATCCAGCCATCTATGCCTATATGTCTGCTAATATTAACCCAGAAAATCAACAGCTCTTTGAGGAATTATCAAATGAACAAGTATTCATGCACATACAACCAACAGAAGTGAAATTACGCAAACGACAGAGAAAAATAAACACAGAAGTTGGAGAATTAAAGCTTAAATTGGCCGAATCTACTAAGAATATTGTTTTAAGTAATAGGGAAATAAGATTACTGAGGTATTTGGAACTTACTGAAGAAGAAAAAGAAAAGCTGAAAGGTTGTCACAAAATATCTAAGAAACTGGAAAAACTGGAGGCTATGGGCCAGGACAAGGACAGCGATTCTGATGACGACGAAAAGGAAAATGAAATGACCAGCCTGGAGTCGAACCCTTCAGACTCTATATCATCCCCACACTCAACACAACCACCCAGCCTAACAGAATCCATGCAGATGATGGACGAAATATTATCAGATACGAATATGGATAAGGTGGAAAAAATCAATCGTCTTGAGGCTATCCTCTCCGCGGTGGCACCATTGAGCGGCGAACTCGAAGATAAGTTCTCAAGAACCATGGAACAGACACTACCACTGCTCAAGAACAAGGATTGGTCGAATCTGAGCCAAATCTTGAACATCGGTGACACCGACAGAAAGAACTGCTGTTGTAAATGCCATAACTCAAACTTCGACGATGTTAAGTGCAATGATCTCAACGAAACTAAGAAGGCGGAGATAGCTTCGCAGACTCTGAGCACGGGGGACATCGTCATAACGAGAATTCACTTCAGGGAAGAGGACAAACTCAACGAGAGGACGATCGACGCGTCCCCTTTCAGTAAGAGGGTAGGTATCAACAACGTGTCCTGATGGCGTTCAACACGTAGCGACTTCCACGTTTCTGAGTGCCACATATTTTCGAAACTGCTCCTGTATGTGATCATATTTTTTTTTAAATAGTATTTATTTTTAAAATGCATTCGTAATGTCAATTTTAAAGTAGGTTATTAACCAGCATCCGATAGTGTTGTTTGTTCATGATGGTATTAATTATTGTAGTGAGAACGTAATGTGCATTGAGTATTATAAAACGCCTACGCCGTATGTTCATTTGAGCGGAGAGACACAGTCCGTCAAATACAACGGTAACTAGAATGATCTACTTGATTGTATCACCTTTTATGAAATGTTTTATATTTATTTATCTGGCTTTTGCCAAATCATAACTACATGTGATAGATTTGTGGCCTTGGTTTATCCTCGATCAATTTTGCATTGTTACAAAGATGGCCGTTGTCATAGCCTGCTCGGTTTAATCTTCCTTAAATCACGATCGGTCGAGATGTTTCCCGATAGCGTTATCAATATTATGTAGCCTTTGCTACCGTGACTTTATCGAAAATGGCAATAAAAGTTATACAATAAAAGGTTTTATTGTTCAAATATTAACTGAATATTGTTTAGATTTATCATAGCGTTTAATTATATAGGTTTAGATTTTTAAAATGAAATTTAGCAAGGTGGTGCTTGGAAATATAAAAATATAACTTATTGTAGGTATATCGATATGGACTAACATAGTTACTGTTTTTACGATAGCAGTGTATCGAATTTTTTAACTAATTTTTGTGCCTTCGAGTCATATCCGACGTAAGTCTTCACGATTCATGCAATTCGTGTAACTTTTATACGTAAGAGTACTTTTTTTTTAATTAAATGAAATCATGTTTGATATACGAGATAACAGAAATCAATTTTTTAGAAATGGATTACTATATAATATTAGCTGTCTAAAGCATGTTGAATGATTTCGAATAGTTTATTTTTGTGTTATACTTACAACTTAGTGATATAACATAACAATATTACGCTTGTACGAGATGCTTATATTTATTAATACGATTAGTCTTTTATGTATTACACTTTTTTTTCTACTATTTTTTTTTTAATTCTTTTTGTTATTCACAGACCTTTTAAAGAAAATCATGAAATGGAATTTAAAAAAAAAAGATCGTTCAGTATTCTTGTTTTTTACATTGTGACTTATTTTAGCACAATTTCGGAGATTTTGCATGTGTTATATTTTGCAAAATATTCAGTGCCACTTATGTTAAATGGTAAGAAGCATTTTTAGTCAGAATAAGTCGAATCACCGTCTGTTATTTATCGAAAGTATTCCTTTGGTTATACTTGCGTATGATGTCGGTAATATTAATGTAGCAAATTGTAGGTTTATATTGTAGAATTTGCACATTGTTTATGTTTATTATGAATAAAAAAAGTTTTAAAAAATATTTTTGTTTCAGTTACCTGTCATATATTATCTATAAAACAAGATAAATCTGCATAATCTCAATCCCATATTTTTTATCTTAACAAATTATAAAGAATATATTTTTAAAATATTGCTATTTACATATTGGTAGAATAATTTTAGACTTTATTTGAATAGGTAATAAGAAGTCACTTATATGGAATAGTAATGGAAATTAAAAATATTTATTTATCTACTTATTTTGAAAAATTCTTACTGAACTTCTGCAAATACAGATTAAATAATGATTTTAATACATTCATTGTGCCATTAATACAACTTGAAGGCTAATAATTTAATATAATATGTCCAAATATTGTAATTATCCGCTGGATGCGGGTGGCACAGGACTTGTCGTCGTGGAGATCCTTGGGGGAGGCCTATGTCCTGCAGTGGACGTCTTTTGGTTGATGATGATGATGATTGTAATTACTTATTTATTTATTACTGAAGCATTGATATGTCTTGGGACTTAGTTTATATAACATAATATTTATGATAAACTATTAAATATTTCCCAAGAAAATGATTGAATTTGTTAGCATAAGTAGTTGTGCTCGAATAATAAGTTTAGGTAGTCTAAAATAATATTTAATGGCTTCTTTGATTAAACTAATAATTAATGAAACTAATAATTTGAAGGAACTAATGTGTAAAATATTTTTTTTCAGCTAGGTTCACTATGATTTTCTGTTAATTTTAAAGTATACTACAGTTTATGTAGTCTTTTTCTAATCCGCACCTATTTTTCCAGTAGCTATATATTTTTTAACATTCCGAATCTCAATTTGAATTATATCTAAATATTATCACACTGACAAAGAAATACTTTGAACCGTACATAATATGTAAGAGGTGTGAAGCCGTTGTATAAATAAAAATATATATATGTAAGAAAACATATTAACTAAAAATTAATAGTCAATTTAACCGCAAACATTTGGGTAACTCATTTACTTAAACAACTAGAGTCAGAACATGTTTTCTGACATAATTTTCCAGTATTTTAGAGGTCATTGGAATCGTTAAACCTTCAACCAATGCATTAATTATATTTTTCAAACAACCAAGTTTGTTTTTGGATCTTTATCCAAGTAATGACCAAGAAAACTATTTCATTATTTGCGTTAATAACCTTTACGACCTTTCATTGTTTTCTAGAAATCAATAGTACTAGTTAATGACTAAACGTGTCACAATAATACACGGCAATAAGAGGTTTTGCTCTAATACTTATCTGGCTTCAATCCGATTATGACATTATATAGGTTTGGCCACTAATAATCACAACGTGAGTTGCATTAATATTAAAAATATGGGCAAATAATTTATAATGTAGGCAGAAATATATAGAAGAACAGAAAAATATTATACGTAACATGTTTCAAACTAAAAATTACTTAGCTCTAACCTTAATTAGAGAAATCTTCGAATGTAATAGAAACCAAGTGTGAAAGTATAGTTCTTTATATATTATTGACAGAACTATCAGTATGCTGCTTGCATAATGCTGCAGGAATTTCAATGTTATTATCATATAACCGTTTGTCATTCATTAGCAGTGCTTCAATTACTTGACTTTGTGCACACTTATTCGATTAAAATGCCACTCATTTGTATGCAAAACCAGATATTTCAATGAGCATAAAAGTATTTAGTATAAGAATTTATCAAGATAATGAACTTACTTGTTTTATTGTTTGGAAATTAACTATTTTATTCAACATAATTAATACAATAATAATGTTTGTGGTGTGACATATTTTTTATTTATTAGACCAATTAATGCAGAAAAAATACAAAGTCCAAGTAAAACATTTTAGTTTTTGAAAATAATTTTAAGGTAGTTTCAGATTATTTTTATCAATCAGTCAGTCAGTTGTTAGTTGTTAAGTCAATCTCATCGCATAACCAAATATTTGTTATGTAGCATTTACGACAGTATACTTTTTAATGACCTAAATTGTGCTTTATCCATTTTATAAAGCTGTATACATATCGACATTCATTATAGTCAGAGGGTATATTGTACCAACAATACAAAGATAATAATAAACTAATGTATGCCAATATAAGAATTATAGTATTGCCAGTTAGCTACTGTAAAAGAATCTATAAAAAATTTCTATGGATCTAATTCACAATAAGCAGAGTGAATATGGTATGATAATCAGTTTAATACAAATATCAAATAGCATATGCGAGCTTTAATATTCAAAATGTTCATCGAGCATAGCAAAGCAATGCTTAGCAATTCTGAATCATTTGCACTCAAGCAGATAGATAATAAATTGTAATGAAATACATTTACTTATTACATCTACCATCAGTTGGTTAAGACTAGTTCAATTTTGTTTTCTAATATAAAATTGGGTGTGTAAAATCTCCTTATTATATATGAAAAAAAATGTCTTTTGTTGCTTAACAGACTAAATTATAGTATTAATAAATAACTTCCAAATAAAACATAATAAGTTATATGAAGTATATCCTGAAAACATCATGAATATTTATTATATTTCAGTAAGAAGAAAAATCTTAACACCTTTAGTCAGATTTGTTCTGCAAGTTAATTTTCTGATCTGATTACAATACTTATATTGAATCTTCTACATTTTGCAATCAACATAATTTTTCTAAAGGCTCTGAAGAACATGAGTTTTATAACTGTAAAATACATCTATTCCCAGTATTGGCAAATAGGCATATATAAATACGATGATTCCTAGCATTTTAAATATAGAAGTTCATTTTTCTAAGAGTTATCTAAAATATGAAAGAAATCTAAGCACGTGAGTGAAATTCGCAACTTTGAAAATAACTACATCAATCTTTTTCAAGGGTTTTAAAGTTTAAAAAAAAATCACGACAAGCTCTGCTTTAAGCAATAACAAGAACAATATAGGGCTAAAGGGGGATTTTATATATAATGCTCTAATGTTCCAATTAAAGACTACGGTAAATTACACTTCGTATACAAATGTTGAATATCTTAGTTTTTCATTCTTCACCTACATAAAAACAATTGAGTTCAAAACAAATAACAATTTCTCCTTGACGTCCATGTGGCGATTAAATGTCAACCTGGCATTTATGATATATAAAAATCTATGGACAAGCCCATGATATTTATTTTGTAAAATTGTTAGTATGCATAGATAATACACTATATTAGAAATTTTAAGTTATAAATTATATTATAAAATAAATTGGTTAGTATGTCTCTGTGTGGCTAGGAAAAGGATATTCCATTATCATTCATTTCAATTACAGTTTTTAAAAACACTGAATTCACTCTCGTTAATATTTCGAATTATTAAACCTCAGACGTTCCTTATTTTAAATACAATATTTAAGAAGAAACTTTGTACTGCAATTACAAATTTTTATTAGTAGGTATTTGAAATTTTTGCTCTGTTTCTGTTCAATCTTAAAGACAACTACCTACTTCTGGATTAATAATTTCAATGTTTCAGTTCTGGATTAACTTGCGTAGAGACATCGTTATGCAATAATCATAATTAGTACCAGTAAAAACGCATCATTTTGAACAATATAAATACACTAATATTAAACAAGGTAAAGTTTTCTTAACCGAAGTTTATTAAAATTTGATGCGCTCTGTACCATTTGACATTTTTTTCCAGTTTTAGGTAGAACGTCAAACTTTTGAATGAAACGTTCGTTGAAAAGTAGTCTAGGTAAACAAAAGTTTAAGATTAAGAAAATGGAAGATTATGACATATTTACAAATGAAATAGACTTCGCCAAACCCGTTCATAAGAATATACTCAATAAATATGTCAACGATGTACCAAAGACTCCGAGTGGACCTAATTATGCAAGTGAGTATTATAAATGAAACCGCCTGTTAACACATGTAAATACTTGACTTTGAATATAAATAATCGCTTTAAAACTTTGAAGATATATAGTCTCATTATAGACGACCACTTTAATTGGGCAGAGCATATAGATAAAGTGTGTATAAAATTAAGATCAATTAAAATTTTTGCTAAAGCAAAAATTTCTATTATAAAAAACAAAATTCCATATTTAACTCGTCTATTACTGTTAAACGTTCTAGCTTGATCTATCATAATCGTATGGACTTAGCAGTTACGGAAGAACAAAAACACAATTAATACTTTTTTGTAAATCGTGATTAAAAAAGTTTTCTAATAGGAGTGTGTATTTTACTTTGTCATGTATTGGTATGATTTTACATTGAGAGAAAAGGTTATGATAATTACCCTTACATACATTTTTAACTTTATCTGGCACTGCGGATTTTAGTAATCGTATTTGGGGTTGGTAAATTTTATTAGAGACGAAACCTCTAAGTGCGGGTGCCGGGTCCATCGCGTTGTATGGAGAGGAGCTTCAACAGTGCCTGGGACTTGCTACCCAAGTGTAGGTTTAAGGGGCCCCTTAACTAACGCGCGTTATACGCTCACCTCCACTGTCCAAGTTCCTCTCCCTACCTAACCAAATTTAAAAAGAACCTACTAGGGCTGCCTTCGAAGTATGTTCCAAGAATGAATTAATGTTAGTTCTGGACAAGCCTAAGTCTTTTAGTAGGTTATAGAGAGATTTAGCTGTTATACCTCTCGCTCTCACCTCTACCGCGTACAAATCAACGAGAAACCTATTTCGAGTTAGTTGAGCTCGTAATACTTATTGACCTTGATGGCATGGTCTTTGGGGATGTTGGTTTCCCAAGGCACCGTAAGCTCTATCATCACAACGCGCTTTAAAATACGCGAATATAGAAATATGTCTGGTCTGGAGGCCGACGCACAAATATCCTCGGGGATTTTGTATTGTTTCTCATACGTAGCCATCATGATAGTCCAATCCGAAGGATAGAGTAAGGCTTGAGGTTTTATTTTATAATTTATGTACTAAATATTTATGTACTAAAAGTTCCGAGTGCTCTCAATGAATTCCGGTGTATGGATAAACCCGACAGGAATTTTGTAACATCATAAAAGAAATTTGTAATGTATTATATAAATAAATAATAATAAAAAAAAAATATATATATATATAAATATGACTGTATGCTGCTATTAGTTTTATTGGCAGTATTTAAAGTATTCTCGTAGTCATTTTAATACTTATTGATAACTTTATAGGCGGCAGGAAATTACTGGGACAGGAATGTTTTGCTGATGGTAAGGAAAATGAATGTGCATTTCACTTCAGTGAATCCGCTTCTCCCTCCTCGAGGACTCGCGCTGTGTACAGAGATGAACAGCTGAAAAGTGCTGGTATATTTATATTACAATATAAAAAATATTTTAGTAGTCTTATACATAATTTAATATAAGTTATAGATACCTACATTTAATTAAAGTTGGTTATTAGCTTTTATATAAAACATAGATATACTGTATATTTCTTATTTCTAACACAATTCAAGTCTTGTAAATTAAACATTAATGTGAGTTTTTTCTTTACTAACTATAGTTAGCTAATTGGAATGAGAATTTATGAGATTTTTTTTATATAGAAAAGTAGTGGTAATAAAATTAGATAACAATGTATTTTATTTATATTTCAGACAATAAATTAAATAAAATAACAGATTATATAAAGCCTGTTAAGAATATTGTTGACAAAAATCCTATGTGAGTATTTGTTAAATGAAATTATAGTTGTAACTTTGTAAGAATATTTTTTCTATGGAGATCTGCTTTAGTTGTCTTTACATATGGAGATCTGCTTTAGTTGTCTTTACATGAGTTTCTTATTAAAACTACTATAAATACTTCCTATTTCTCTGTCAAAACATAAAATATATATTGTAAAGTAAAACTACTGTAACTTGGATTGTTTATGACAAATTTTTCAGAACCAAAGAGGATAATGCAGTACTTGATCTCCTTAATAACAATATGGATGTAACTGTATTGGATAAATATAATACAAAGGAGGAAATTCCATTTCATAAGCAATACATGAGATTCAGTTCGGACAACAATGTTGATAATTTTTTGAAGATATTAAAAGAATTACCTAAAGGTGATATAAATTTTCAATCTATTACCTAGTTTAGTATCTTCAGATTTATTTTAAGGTAAATGTTACCTTTATTTAGGCGGGAAAGTTAATATACCAAGAAAAAATACAAGTAAACTGTAATTTCGAATTGTATGACATATATTTATTTGAAAATATTAATTATGTATATGTATATATATTAGACAACATGTGTCAAGAGTTTAAAAAGTAAATAAATATATATGTATTTATGCTTTTCTTTCAGAGTGGACAATAATTCAGTTAACAGCACCATACAATCCTAATGAAAATCTGAAACCATTAACTGATTATCGCACAGAGATTACATCTATGTATATAACAGTGCTCAGTAACAAGTATTGTGATAGTCCATTGACAATAGAAGTTCCAGCTAATGTTACAAAAGGTAATAATACTCAATTAATTTGATATATAACTATAATAAAATAAAATTAGCAGATTATATGTAAATTTTTCCAAATAGTAGGATAATAATGAATCCTCATTAAAAAATACAAATTGATGTACACCATTAATGTGGGTTAAAAAAAATAAAGAAAAAATTGCTCAGAGATTTATTTTTACTATTTACATATATGGTCCTGTAAAATTATTATTATTCTCGACATTATATGTTTTTTTGAATGTGCTTTTGAGTTCTTGTGTCTCAAAGTGTTGTGATTCACAATAAAATATATGTATGAACTAAACATATAAGTTACATTACAAATTAGATTTATATGTATCTCTAATTATAACTATGCGAGTGACTTTAAATGTATTATAAAGCTAATATGTTTAATATATTGTAAAATAATGTTCATGGGAAATATATTAATTGCTTGTTCTTTTCATAACCTTTGATTAAGTTTACCTGGGCTCTATTTAAACGGTATTTTTGTTGAAATTACTTCCCAGAAGGTGAAAAACCACTGTTTGAAGAGCTGTATTCTCTACTAGAGGAGAATTATAGGACGATAGACAATGCTCAGTATTTAAACAACAAGAATTTGGTCCAGAATTATTGGAGCAAACGTGAGGACATTGACCTCAGGATGAAGGTATTGATGCAATATTTACAGTAACTATCCTCATAATATATAAAGCTTGAAAATTATCATTATGAACTAGCTTATGCCCGCGATTGTGTCCGTGTATAATTTGTGTACAAAGAAAGTAATAATAATACGTGTTTTAATGTATTTTTGTAACTAACCAACTAACGTCATCTATCGTTGTAATGTAATCAAAATACACTTGTTACATTGTTCCTGTGGAAAGTACATATTATTTTGTTTTAAATCATGGACTATATGTTACTCTAAGGCGTTAATTATATCAATGTAATGTTTAATTAAAATCCATTTATGATTTTTGCTTTGAAAGGTGACAAACATACATAAATGCATAATAATAATATCTTACAATGACACTAATAGTTAATCTTTCATTTTTTTATAAGGTTTTAACTTGTATCAACAAATATAATGAACACAATTCTACTGGATTAATTTTTTTTCATAAATTAAAATCTTTTTAAGTAAAGTAATTGAGTCTAAAACTTTGCTATAAAGTATAAACGAATTTTTATTGCGATGACTAACAAGAAAAATATAAAGGATACTGTAATGTAATAATATTTGTTATAATTCCAGAGCATTGTTAATGTAATGGATAAAGAATGGCTCGGTGGCTTCTCAAGTCTTTTGACTGGACGGCTATTAGATGACCAAAAGCATGATAGAATTGTTAGTTTAGTCAATAAAGCTATCAATGATTGGGGGTAAGAATGTCATTTTATTAATACAACTTCAGTTTTTGTATTCTATCTATCGCATGTCGCATTACAGGTGGTTATACAGAATTTTTGAATTTGTGTATATATTGTATTATTATTGTTTTAAGCAATTTGTATATATATTTTGATGAAAATTTTAAACATTTTAAACAGCCTTTAATAATAAACTACTTCTATTACATATAGTTTTTGTGTTGAAAATATATTTTTGATACAAGATGAAAATGCTTACATACATTCTCAAAAATATTTTTATATGTATGAACAGCTTACAACTAAAGTTAATACATTGCCAAATTTTCAAAATTCAATCATATGTTATTCTAACAATAAATACATATATATTTATAATTTATATTTTAAATATTATCGTAATCCATTGTATTTCTCGTTTCAGTTTCGTAAGACTGACGGCAAAACAGAAAATGCTTCTATACAACCTCATTGAGAGCAGTGCGTTGTTGCCATCGCAGCAAATAAAATCTTGTATACGAAAAATATTGACTGAACATGGCAATACTGATGATATAAGAAAAACTTTGAGAATAGACTGTGATAACTGTAGCTCTGAATTCAGATTAGCGAGTGAACTATGTTTGAAATGTTTGTCCCATTGCTTCAAGGCGATTCACCATTTTAGACTGGTTGATGGTATTAAAGCGTTTTCACAAGTAGCAACACAGGTTAAAGAAGACAACGAATGGGCAAGTTTGAAGAAGGCAAACCGACAACCGGTTATATTGATTGTTGATGAGGTAATTTTAACTATGATTTACAAATTTAACTAAAATTTATGGATATTTTGTCCATCATCTAACCAATATACTTGTGCTCGTGACTAATCATAGGTAAAGATTGTCTAACATCATTCTGGTAAAGACCTAATACTCTTCTACCGGACTGATCAGACATAGCTAAGAACAAAGCAACGAAACTAACTATCAACTGAAAATAACGACATCGAAATCGGTCAATCCTTTTTAAAAATACAAACTTATAATATTCTACTCTTTACTTTGAGGTTTGAAAACATATAATCGTAATCCCTGCTAATATTATGAATGCGAATGTAACTCTGTCTGTCTGTTACGCTTTCACGCCTAAACCACTGAACTGATATTAATGAAATTTGGTACAGAGATGAAGTTAACCTTGAGAAAGAACATAGTTTTTATCGCAGACTTTTGAAAGGTTCTCTTGGAAACGCGATATAACCGAACTACACGCGGGCGAAGCTGCGGGCGGAAAGCTAGTTTAAAATATATATATTATTTATATAAAAATATTCAATATATTACTTCTATATAGAATTTGGTCATATACAAGGTGACTGGTGAATTACTATCGATACTTGAGGACGTGATATTTGACGATCATATATGACGAAATAAAAATGAATATAACATAAATATTAATAAACTTCTGAGTAAAGTTAACCAAAAGTTATGTAATTAATTACGCATCGTGTGAACACCCTACAGATTAGGTATACACACGCACACACACACGCGTGCGGCGACGTGGTGTTGTATCAGCACGCCGCCACACGCGTCCTCACTTGGAACACTTGGAACGTGTCCATGCTTTATTTATTTATACGGAAATTTGGTCAAAAATTAAGTACCTATTTTTTTTACATAATTCGAATGAGAATCATGTACCGAGTATTCTCCTTAAATATTGATAGTAATTCACCAGTCAGCCTGTATACTTATAATTTTTGTGAATATATTACTATATATAAAATTGTTTCAGATGTTAGACACATTCCCATGGGAAACTCTGCCCATTCTCAATCAACATCCCGTCACTCGGATAGAGAATATACATTTTCTGTATTCACTATACAAAACACATGAAAATAAGATTATAAACGGTTACTATACAACCAGCACAAATGTTGGCAGATACATTATTAATCCAGGTATTAAAATAGTTTTGTATACTAATAATATCTGTTTATATACTAGTTTTATATAATTTAGGAATTAGTGATATATGTTAAGCTGACCAGGCGAACTCTATTGCGCAATAGAGGCCATAAATAACGAGATATTGGAATTTGTTAAGTTTTTTCTTTTTCTATCGAGTAGCATTAAATATCCTATGTCCGTCCACCAATTTTCAAGCATATCTCTACAGATGTTCTTGAGTGTAACTAACACGACTTGCTATTATATATTGGTTTTAATATAATTTATTTTAATTACTTCCAGAAAAGAATCTCGAACGTATGGAGCTTAGGATGAAATCGTTTGTGAAATATTGGTGTAAGTCTTGGACCGGCCACGCGGGTGAGAAGCCCACTGCGGAAGAATACCTTAAATGTCTTACAGAAGCTGAAGTATTCCTGTGAGTTAAGCCTGATAGTCTCTCTCTCTATATATATATATATATATATGTGTATGTTTGTTATTGTTATGCCGTATCTACTAAACTTGTTTACATATATTAGTGGTAATATAGGGAAGATTGTAGGTTTTTTTGTTTGTAACAATGTTGAAAACAATTTGAATTATTCCAATAATATTGTCTGTCTCAGTAAAGGATGGCATTCATGAAAAAATATTTCAATAATTTCATATTTCTTGATATAATATATTTCTATTAATATTTAACAAGATTTTTATATGAACCTATTTAAGTAAAAAAGCCTACATAACAGTGAAATTTAGCATAATATATACAAAAATAATTATCAAGAATATCACTGAATTGATTTCAGCCTATATTGATCATTCTAGTGTACAAAAACTGAAATATAAATAAAAATTCTCATGTCTTGCATATCATATATTTATAAAGACACATTAACTTTGACAATATGTCAGATACACGGTTCAAATAGTTTTGCATAGATGGCGTTAGTAGTAACAAATGTTGATACACTATTTGAACAATATATATATAAAATCTGCTACATATATATAAAATCTGCTACAACTAATATTAAGTAGTGTTCTACAAAAATTTACACATTTAGAGTATTTAGAAATCACTGACATCGTGAGGAAACCTGGACTTATAGTTTCACATTATAAGTTTGAAATCACCAACCCGTCTTGAGCAAGCGTGGTGATTAATGCTCAAACCTTCTCCATGTGAGAAAGAGGCCTTGCTCAGCAGTGGGCTTCTGATAGGCTGATACTGCTACTGATACAAAAGTTGATGCGATTTTAACCTTTATTCCATTGTATTAAGGTACTGCGGTCACGGCGATGGACGCCAACTGGCTAGCAGCTCGTCTCAAATCGAGAGTGCTTCGTGTGGTGCTGTATGTATACTATCGGGCTGTGGCTCGCTGAGGCTTGTGAGGGAAGGGAGTAGAACACCCGCGACCGCCGCTCATCATCACCTACGACTAGCCGGATGGTTAGTATGGAGAAGGAAACCTCTAAGCATTCATACATTGAGTATACTCACCGTGTGTGGGTCCATCGTTGTATAGAGAGGAGCTTCAACAGTCGGCTTCCCTTCTAGACCCGCAGCTATCAGTATATCCAACAGCTTAGCCACACGCTCCTTGTTATTTGTACATCCTATGATATTAACATAAAATTAATTAATAAGAGATTAATTAACATTCAAGGTTGTAGTGAGAGGAGCTTCAACAGTGCCTGGGACTTGCGACCCAGGTGTATGTTTAAGGGGCCTCTATCTAACTCGTTAAACGCTCACCTCCCCTGTCCAAGTTCCTCTCTCCTAACCATATTTGAAAGCCTACTAGGGCTGACTTCGAAGTATATTCCAATAATGAATTTATATTAGTTCTGTACAGGCCAAGTCTTTTAGTAGGTTGTAGAGATAGCATATAGGATTTTCATTCGAAATTTAAAAAGAAAATGATAATATGATATTTTAGAGAAAAAAAGTAATGAACTGCAAACACCAGTACGATTAATAAACTACTTACAGAGTTGTATACGTAAAATAGACTTAAAATTTATTGGTTACATAATATTAAGATTAAAATACTTGAGCGATATCACTTCGATGATCGACCACTTCAAATTGAGCTGTCTCTTTCGTATTATTCTTACTATGTATTCTGTCTTTAATTATTCTCACTATGTATATGTACTTTTATTTATCTTATATTTATTGTGCGAGTTCAAAATATAATTGTCACCAGTCCAATGGTGATCGGAATGCTTTGGGAGGTGACCGATCTTGAAGTGGATAAAATGGTGACAAAGATGCTGTCTCTGTTCGTACCATCAAAGGCGCCGTGTGATTGGAAATATGTAAAGAAAAACCAGTGGAGTCAGGGGATTATCGGTGAGTATCGATAGTTATCATATAAAAAGTACTTAGAAATTCCATAATGAAGCTGTTTTAACTTATGGTGAAAAACACTTACAAGCGTCCTGTCTCTGAGATATAATCGTTACTTAGTTGAAAATATCCTACTAATATAATAAAAGCGAATTAGCGAGGTAATAAGGAACTTGATCCAAGTTTACAGTGATGTACCTTAAACGTCACATTTCACAATAAAGCATATGTACGCTACAATTTATTTCTGAATTCATAACAGATTTTAAGTCACATGACATTATATAGATGGCGCTGGTTTATTAACATATAAGTCGGATTAAATTGCAGATAAAAACTGGCTACTTTATTTATTACAAATAATTTATGTATCTCAAATGACTATAATATTATTAGTATACACACGGTCTTTAATAATGTACAACGTATTTCCAGACTTCCCCGCCCCACCGACCTCGCCTCAGATCGTGTGTCACGATGTCTTGTTGGCTGCGAGCAAATCACGTTTAGCTACAAACTACATTATGATATCTAGCAGTCTAGTTATTAGAGGTATACCTGTTATGATTAATTAGACACGCCTTAATTAAAAATTAACGAATCAAAATCAACGAATTTATATGTTCAGCTTAATAGCCAGTGAACGGATACCTGTATGTATTTGAACAGACCTGGTTTTTGCACGTTGATACCCCTTTACCTACCGTACATGACATGGGGACTCACTAAGCCCTAAGTGGTGGACGCGGCTAGTACGCAGGTAGGACATTTTTGGCTAATATAATTAAATTTTGTATTTTTGTCAAGGTTTCATTATAAATTTCATTATCTGGTTTCAATCGTGATAGGTTGCTTATTTGAAATTAATTATTAAAATTAGTTCATTTTTAGACCTGAACTGTTTTTTTTTTTTGCAAAAAAAAACAAAATTCAGGTTTGCTGAAGCCGCGGTATCAGAAGTCTGAACTATCACTATCCGCGTCCAACACTTAGGGCTTAGTGAGTGTCCCATCTTATGTACGGTAGGTAAAGGGGCCTCAATGTACAAAAACACAGGTCTGGTCAAATACATACAGTATCCGTTCACTGGCTCTTAAGCTAGTACTTTGATTATAAAAATATGTATTTTAATATGTATTAGTAAATAGTATGTATTTAATTTACTATTTGATTACGTTGAATCAGGGTTATTAGTTAAGTTTATAAATAAATATACAACATATTATCGTGTTTTATTATATTCATTGTATATTTTCTGAGATCAAATAGGAACGGATGTCCTTTTATAATTAATCTATTTAAATTTTATACAAGTTATAAATTACCACAATTTCTTAATAAAATCAATAATTACATAGTAAGAATTTATTTAGTAACGCTCAGGAAAGTAATGAACATAAAAAAAAAAAAGTTATAAAATGTGCCCGCCAATATTATTATCTCTTATATAAGCGACTTACTCAAACGAGTATAATAGTATTTTTCAAACCTGAAAATATGTGCAAAAGTTTTTACATATACAAATATTTTCATAACTCATCTAGGGTTAGAGTGGTCTTTGTGTATGGAAAATAAGCGCTGGAGTAGTTCCACGTACGAACACATTCCCAGGAAAGCGGCGCTAGTAGCGGCCGGTAGATAATGTGGCGTTTTATTTTCGATAGATGGCGTTGTCATTAATTTTACCCTAATAAATGTATCTTGTAAATCTAATACTCCTATATTCACTATTGACTGTTGAGTGATGTTTTATTACAATATAGGTTTAGCTTTGTTATATATACCTATGGAGTATTTATTTTGTAATGGATCTGCTTATTTTCTTATACCATGCTAAATCATACTTGTAGCATGGAATTTGATTTTGTTAGAATTTCTATATTTTCCGTGTGAGAAGAAAAGTTAATAATTATTGAATTTATACTCATGAGTGTATGCAAGTCCTTAATATGAATTGTGTGTCTGTGTGTGTACTACATTGAGATGTATGTGTGTGTGCACGTATTTATATGTAGTGTCTGTATGTGTGTATATCCTAATATAAATTGTTTATGTGTGTATGAGGTACTAATATGAGGTGTATATGTGTGTGTGCATGTCTTTATATGTTGTGTCTGAGTGTGTATATCCTAATATAAAATGTTTGTGTGTGTGTGTGAGTGCGCGTGTAACTATGAGTGTGCTGTGATGGCATGTGCCGGTGGTGTTTGTGTGTTGTGTTGATTCCGTCGCCTTCGTCGTGATGCTGGCGGCGTACGCTCCTTACTCTCAGCCGACTTGACGCTCTGGTTGATCAAAACACACATGCATATAAATTACACGTACATCGTACTAAGGTTTAGAGCTAAAATTTAAACTATTCCATAACTAGATTGATGAGTTTTGAATATGATTAAGGCTTACGTACACTTATCACAGAATATATTTATCAAATACTTTACTTTCAGGCCAATCTGAGTTATTGAAAGACAGAAATACTTTATGGAATTAGAATAATAATGATAAAAAGCTAAGAAACTACTCATCTGGTTATGGTCCTATGTTCTGTAGTCTATACTTAGCTAGACAAAGTCTTTGTATGAGATATAAACTACAGTATAATACAAACCTCATCAAACTTGATCTGTTCCACCATTTCGACAACTTTTTTCTCCAAGCTCTTGATGTATAGACGGACGTTGGTGGTGTTTATGTTCAAAGATTTCCCCAACAATTTTAGCAGCGGCAGAGAATCACACTCTGATGAACTGGGAATGTATTTAATAATTATGAATCTATTTATTTGGGTTCTATTAAAATATGATATTTATACTTTTATTTATTGAGTGAAATATTTATATATTGTATTGTTAGTAAAAAATACGTAGAATACAAAACCGTTGGACAATATAAAGTTAAGGAATGATGTAGGTATATTCATATGAATAATATGACCGGCTGTCAAATAGTCAAGAAGCTGTCGATAGTTACCAAAATGATAGTTTATAAAAACACGCTTGTATAACAGAACTAAAAATTAAATCAACAAGTTAATCATCTCAAAATAAAATTATGATGAAATTTTAAGTTATTAGCAGAATAATTAAATTCAGACTAAAAAAGTGGGATGCTTGATATTGAATGTTAAAATCATCCTAGTGGCAACTATCTATAAGAGAAAAGATATGAAATGAAAATGATGAAAATTCGCTTGCTAAAGTATTAATGTATGCTTCTTAACACACTTCTACTGAATTTATATACACAATTATCTATACTAATATCATAAAGCTGAAGAGTTTGTTTGTTTGTTTGTTTGAAAGCGCTAATCTCCGAAACTACTGGTTCGAATTGAATAATTCTTTTTGTGTTGGATAGTCCAGTTATCGAGGAAGGCTGTAGGCTATATAACATCACGCTACGACCAATAGGAGCAAAGATATAGTGGTAAATGTGTAAAAAACGGGAGAAATTATTTCATCTTTGAAGCCTTCCGTTGCGTGCGCCGTGAAAACGGTTCGAGATACACAAAAAATATGTATGAAAGAATAATACCTCTTTTAATGATCTAAAAAACAGTCCGCGACAGTATATGTCTATCTTTTAAGATTAACTCACAAAAACCGTTTTTATGGTACCTAATTTGGTCGAAATAATTTGTTTAAGTTGTATCAACGTAATAATATTAATCTTTATTCAAATAAACAAATAAATATGTTGTTGGCTAAGAGTACTTCATTGTGAATAAAAAAAAACATAGATTTTATCCTGAACATTCTACGGGAACTCGACCATTCAGAAAACCCCGCAAGAACGGGAACTATGTGGGAAGAACCAAAAATCTGCCGGAAGTCACTATTTCCACGCAGACGAAGTCGCGGCAAAAGCTAGTATTAAATATTTTGATGGTTATTTAGGTATAAATAATATTGTAAGCCAAGAACGTTACAATCTCGTTCTACCCTCAGTCCGCCACTCACACAGCCAACTCCCTGACACTGTCCAGTACTGTCTGCACCGCGGCCTCGGTTCTCTGGCAGGCGGTGTGTAGGGCGTCCGCCTGTACTCTTCTCTGCTGCAGAGTCGCCCGCAGGTTATCAGCTGATTCCTGCTGCTTGAACAGCTTAGCTTGCTGCTTAGCATGCTCCTCCTCTATGTAAGTTATTTAAGCTATTGCACACAAAGCTCTTTTCAGACATCCTTTGGTTATTATATTTTTTCCTAAGAAAGTTATCGATCAAACTACCAAGTTGTAATTAAGTTTTAAGAACATGTATAAAAGGACTTGTTGGTACATATAAAGCTTATTTCGGTAAATATTTTTTTTCCTAAGAAAGTTATCGATAAACTATAAGAAGACTTATTTGTACCATCTCATTTGTAGGTAAGAATAATTTAGTTGTATCATCTATAAAAGAATTCTGGTGAACTAAAATCATATTACGTAATAAAAGTTGAACCAAACAAAAATTGGAACACTTCTGTTGTACAATATTAGCATAGATTTACACTAACGAGTTATTGCTTGACTGAATTTTGATATCTGTGTGAATTAAATTTTTATCAAGGAAAAATTCCTTGAATAACATTGATTTTTTCCTTATAACCTTAATGCCAGTTAAGGTTCTAGGGTTCATAAATATTGTGTTAAAGATTTTGAACTGAAAACCATATTTTCTTATTATTACTACTCGCTTCAAGGACTTAGATTGTTATAATTCTGAAAGGGTGTAACTTATTCTAAGTCCAAATATTAATTAATTAAATATGGCCCAAAACTAGAATAAATTTTAGCACTCACCAATACTAGACTTCAACATTTTAACATTATCACTAAGATGCTTCAGCTCAGTGTTAACTTCGTTGATGTAAGTGAAAAGCGCGTAATTTTCTTCCTCACGACGAGTAAATTCCTGGATTAATTTGTCCACATCCTCCTCTCCAGTATATTCCTGGAAAAATACCAGAAAAGTCAATATTTAAAGCATATAACACACAAATAGCGCATAACATTTATCGGCCCATAAAAATTTACAGCCATGGAAAATTGCCATTATTTCTGAGTCATCGCGTTTCTTTATCTACAATATTGATAATAAAAACATGCAGCTATCTTTAAGTGCCAGAAAAAAATATTTTATATACCGTATGAAACAGCCGTATAAGAATTAATTGGCTATTTGCACGTGAATACATCGGAGGTCCTATTATGCTGGTTAGTACCAAACTACCCTCGTACTAACTTTGATAGCGTCTAGTATGTTCACGTAATTGTTATATATACGTATATCGTTTTCCTGTCGCTCAATCCTCCTTGCTTCCTCCCTGGCGTCTGCGGCCGTCAGTCGAACTGTTCCCTTGGTACGGAGGAACTCTTCTAGCTTCAAGCTGTGGTCTAACTGCCGCTGTAACTCGCGTACCTCCTGATATTCAAGGTCATAGAAAATTTACTGAGTTTCATTTGGACATTTCTTGGACTAATAGTAAAGTACGTTCTGGTAGTGAATACTGAAATTTAGAATACGTTTTAAGACAGGGCTAAAATAATAATTACTTGTAAATTATTTTTAATATGTGCTGCAACATTAGAAAAAAACCTTTTTATGCCTTTTATTCATTCATTTTTGCCAACCTTTACTTAATGATTCAAGTGCATAAAAGAAAGGGTACCAAAAGAGTTATATGTGACCAACTAACAAGACAATGTTTCCGATAGTCCAAGGCTGCCTTTTCCTTCAGAGCGTCTAACTTTCCGCACCACTCCTCTCGTTGTTCGTACGTAGCTATTGCCGCTTCTACCAACTCAAGGATCCTGGCTTTTCCTTCCATCAGCCTCCTGATCTGTCCTCTCCACAGGCTGTTGAAGAACTGCCTGACATACGATTGGAGCATGGTAGAAGTTAATCATGATATCTTATTGGCTTAAGTCATATATTAGCTATGTTCTCTGGGCGTGCGATTTCAATCGCATACTATATTTTGTCAGTTAAGGGTAGATAGAAATATAGAACCTATTGAATTTCTATTAGGTATGGAAAATTATTCCTTAAGGGATACTTCAAAAGCTTTAATATTCAGTGATGAGGTCTTGAGGGTTAGTTTAGTTTGAGCTTAGCTGTGGGTAAAAGTGAGTAAGAAAAACTTGGAAGTGTTGAAATTAGATTTCTGAAACTATGAGAGGATACGATGATAATGAGATCTCTCACTCTCTCACTCTCGCGAATATTAATTTAAATAAACCTAATATTTTAGGGTTACTAATATTTTTTTATAATTTTAAACATAATACTCCCGTAATATTTCGGTTACTTGGCAGCAACCACGATCACGGACAGACGAGATGAAAATTTATATAATCTAAACTAATGAAATAGAGCATAATCCGATAAAATTAGCAGTATTTAGATACGGTGATATAGATTTAAATGAAACTAATATTTTTAGGATATACTACGCGTTTTTTATTTGTGTAAGAAACTACATACCTACTTCCGACATTTCGACTACTTTTCAGCAACCGTGATCACGGGCAGACGAGATGTGGATGCCGAAATGGGAAGGGAGTATGTAGTTAAAAAAATAAAGCACATATAGTACATCCAAAAAATATTAGTTTCATTTAAATTAACAAACCTCACAAAAGTCTTAGATCTCATCATACGATTAAATTAGTTATGTTCGTCTTTTCACCTGTCTCTTAAAAGACGATCTATTTCTAGTCGCATATTGAAATTGTCACTGTTAACAGAATTGAACTTCTTCATGGCTGTGTTCAGTCTGTTCTCGAGCTGACTGCTGAGAGTCTGATTGGTTAGTGTGATGGCATAGTCCTAGGAAGAAACACTTGAAATATACTGAAAATATCAAGGCTTAAACTATAGAGTAGATCTGTGATAAATACTTTTTCGAATCCAACGCCTTTAGCCCTAAGTTGTTTGATCTCTTTCTGGACCTGTTTCAATAAGAAGTTTAGCTCGTTGATTGTAGCGCGATGTTCTTGGACCTCTGTTGAACATTTCTCGTGTTCCTTCAGAAGTAATATCAATCTATCTTTAACACGCGCGTTCTCTAGAAGATTCGACGTGCTTTTTGTCAGCTGCAAAATTTTATTTCATATATTGGCAATTGAAATAGAAAAAGGAGTATTTATTTTATACGAATAAATAAAATTACAGTGTCTGTTTGTATTAAACAACAATTAAAATAGTTTTTACTAAAAAAAAATAATGGTACTGCCATCTTGTTGAGAAGTTCACTTTATAAAAGATAAATGTCAAACTAGCACTGACATATAAGGAGATATAAAATGTCAATTAAAATTACATACAAAATCAAATTAACACCATTTTTAATGAATGTGTCCTAAGAATAATAGATATTGAGATCAAATAGGCTCCATTTGTATTGAATCAGGTTATTGTCTAGATATAATCCGAGAGAAAGTTTATAACGCACGCGTCAACCGACTCATTAGCCATGCGTCATAGGTTGGCATTCGCAATACAAAATGTCATCGAAAGCGCATAAATTGATCGCCATTTTGCTATAGCGATCAGCTGTTTTATTTTTTGTGACATTTAGTTTGAGAAAATGGCGGCTTAGCTTGTTAAGTTTTTTGTAAAGCGTCTTTATGTTGTTATTATTTGATAAGCTTTGTATTACAAACAAATGAAATTTAATAAATTTTGGGATATTTTTCATTTTTGAAACAGAAGCTACTTTTTTAACGTAATAGCATTTCAAGTGAATTAAACTGTATTAATATTTTTATTATTAAGTATATTTAAAAAATTGCCTACATCCTTAGTATTTGTTAACGCTTTAAACAAATTAGGAAATTCGCTTTTATTTATAATGTCACGTTGAACACTGGCATTCAAGTTTTAATTGATATTTTATAAATGGAAACACATGACACTGTTAATGACGCCAGTAAAGATGAAAATTACTGTTTAATTATAATTTAATATATATTTTCAACAATCATATCTAAGCAAATATTAAATATTCTTGTATTTGTGACGCGGCGCGGCGTTTATATTGGTTTTTCATTAAACTTGTAAGAATATAAAATTGAAATATAATTTATAAAAATCAATGAAGACAATTTAAATTTCAAACATTCATGACCAGTCTTGAAAATATTAATTTTTATCTATTGACAATCATATATACAAAAATTCTCGTGTCGCGGTGTTAGACAGAGAACTCCTCAGAAACAGCTGGACCGATTTTGATGAAATTTTGTGAGCATATTCAGTTAGTCTGAGAATCGGCCAACATTTATTTTTAATACCCCTAAGTCATAAGGGTTGTTCACCCTTAATTTTTTTTTTGTTTTCAGACGAATTTTTTTGTTTTTATTTTTCTATAATGTAGCATTAAAAATACATACAACACAAAATTTTTACCCTTTTATCGCCAACCCCTATTTTTATATGGCAAAATAACGTTTGGCGGGTCAGCTAGTATATAATATATACAAATAATTATAAATTAATGTGTACTCACACGTAATTCAGTGATGATGTTGTCAAGTTCCATAGTAAGAGTTCTTATCATATTACGTTGAACCCTCAACGTTGGCTGGACACTGCTTGTCACAGTCGCTCGGTCTAACTCCATTACGCGAAACTTTATCACAATAATAATTATTATTTATTTAAAAATAATATTAATATAACCTGCATATATTGATATAGTATATAAAAAGTTTGCTTCATTGACGATTGGGTAAAATAAATGCGTATTTTTATTTAAATTAAAGAATTAAAAAAACATAGCAATACTACTTGTATTTACTACGTATTATTATTAGTGGTTAATAATAATTAGTCCAAATATTTTTATATTTACCTGTCGCTGTAATTTAGACAGTTCATCTTCAGCAATCTTTTCCATTTCGATGTCATCATTTGGCGCCGCCATTATTATTAATACGTCACTTTACAGCTGTCTTTAAAGACGAAAACTTTTAACATTCAATGTATTCATATGCGTGTGTTAGGTCCATCGTTGTAGTGAGAGGAGCTTCAACAGTGCCTGGGACTTGCGACCCAGGTGTACGTTTAAGAAACCCCTGTCTAACGCACGTTAAACGCTGTAGTAAAAACAATTTCTAAGTATTGAAATAACAATGATTTGATTGTTCGATAATTTCGCTAAGCAACCTTATTTGTATTATGAGTGTCGCTACTTTTGTTATATCTTAAAATGGCTTTAAAAAAGGTTTTAATCAGACCAATCGTTTGACCACAGATAATTAAACTAATGATTTTTTTTCTCAATGTGTGAAGTTTGAAACTCCTCAAGAATTAAATTGTTTTCTGGTATTCCGTATTGTATAGATGTAAGGTAAGTTTTGTAAAGAAAATATTGATTATAATTTTCCTTGAAAATTTACATTTCCTAGTTACTCATATTTTACAATTGCGACTATAAGATGGTAAACAAAAAAAAAATGCTTTAAAATTAAGGAAAAATTCTTAAAAATAATGAGTGTAATAAAAATATAAAATAGTACTAATGCGGAGCCATATTGGATTGCTTTTTTTGTTATGAACCTTTCATTATTTCATTTAATTAATACATATATTTATTTAGTTAAATTCAGCCATTTTTATTATATTTCAATATCAGTTTTCAATGTAGTTAGATAATTGGTACGAAAGCATTCATCCAAAAGTTCTATAAAACAATAGAGCTATATAAATATATATACGCAAAAATCCTTTTATTTTCGCGCCTATTTTGACTTCGTTACTATTGTATAAAAATATAAGAGTTTCGATAAATATTACTTTAACAATTTACGTCACAAGTAAACCATCAGCTTGAGACTTAAGTATCGATTATAATTTAAAGGTCATACAAATTATAAAAAAATGTTAAACATAATCTTATAGGACCACTGACTATGAGATCACTTCCTACAAAATAAAAATGCTCATAAAAATAATAATATTGTTCACCATTTTGAAATGACCACTCTCTTTATTACCTTGAATATGTCTATCTCGCTCTTTTGTTCGCTATTTTATTTACCTGTTATTTCTGTTTCACACAACATACGTGTTCTTTCATATCATAGATTAATAATTAAAATTTGTTATTTTAGCTAATACGATAGAATAAATTTTGTATTCTATTTTTAAATTGCATTTTAAAGTCACTAAAATTATGATTGTCGTGAATACTTTTTTAATTAGGTAATTTATTAATTACTTAATTTATAATTCTTAGAAATACTAATAATTTAATTACACGTTTCCTATAATGTACCTGAATATTTAATGTGTATAGTTTTAGTAATAATGTTGTAATATAGTTAAAGTGTCGTATCTGTGGTAATCTAATCTGTGGCGTGGTAGGCACGTTGTACCTTGCAGGTCTGGCCGCTTGCATCAGATTCAGTTATACTTTGTTGTGTTGAAGCCGTCGTCGCGGTAAGAGCGCGTCAAGCCGTCCGCGTGTGTAACATTATATATTCGTGTTAGTGCAATTTGAGTGCCATTGACATGGAAATGTTACGTTTTTGTTATCAATAAATATTATAATGGCATTAAAAAAAGATTTCGACCTGCCCGTGAACGTTTTCAAACAGATCAAGTTACCGAAACCCGTCAAAATACAGCAGGCCATTGAGAAGCTGTTCAAGAAGAATAATTATACAAAAATAGTGCAAAGTTAATTAGAGTTGGAGCTTAGTACAGATTAGATGGCCGGTGAAGTTGGTTCGAATAATAGTAGAAATAGTTCAGAGTATACAAATTCACCAGATTTCATTAGTGATCACACCGAGTTCGTCGGTCGAGGCAGTATTGATACTAAGAGGAAAAACAAGAGGAGCCGTAGTACGAGTAGAAGCAGGATCACACCGACGGTATTGAGTCTATCGGATGAACAGTTTTATGAAGAATTAGAGGATTACGTTAAAGACATGTCGGCGTCTACCATCGAGTCGGGAGTCGAAGATGTTTGGAGTCAATTACAACAGAAGGAGTCTGATTTGCTGCTGGCAGCGGAGCTTGGGAAGGCTTTGCTGGAGAAGAATGAAGAACTGAAGAAGGAACAGGAGCGTCTAGCTGAAGAATACTCCAAGAAACTCGAGGTAAGCAACTATTATACATCTTTTAATTTAAGTTGTTCTGCTCGCATTAACTGGTTTGGAATAGCAATTAATCGTTTCTTAGGTAAAGTAAATTAAGTGTAATTAATTCTATTGGAAAATAATCCTTAATAATTGTAGACGTTACAACAACATCTAGGTAAAACTTTTTAATAGTTTCGTTGCGTGTTAGTTAGCTGGTTTTGTTTTAATTGAAATTTTTGTGGATTTGTACGGAAAGTCGGCTGTTTAGTTTCATAACTGAATTTGATTTGACTTTCGAACAAAATTTTTTGTTATTATGTACTTTTTACATAGAAGTGTATGTATGAAGATTTATATATACTTCTGGTGAGAAATAAAGAGCAGCGCGAGAGTATAATGCATGCGAAAGTATTGTTAAATTGACTATTTAGACTATTTTGACGACATCGTTTAACCGAGTGGCCTAAAATATTATGAAGGCTGGATAGAACTTCGAAAAATTACTTTTGGTGTTAGTCAGTCGACATGTAGTCACATGAACGGAGTCGCAGGCAAAAGCTAGTATATAAATAATAGCGCAGCGCGAATTTTCATGTTACATTTTCTTCATGTATTATTTAGTCAAACATGTGACGTCATTTTCACGAGATCATAACTATGCTAAAAGAAGTATCAATAAAAATATCATCAAGAGTTTAAGTGATGTCTTTCTAATTGAAGCCGATAGTTTTAATTACAACACGAATGTATTGTTTAATAGTATCACGCAATTTTGATAAGATATACAAGATAAACGTTGTATGACATTAAAAATGACAAGATAAATATGTTAAAACCTCCACCTTCTTTGATGCTGCGTGTACATGGATGTATGAAAAATATGGATATGGTATTATGTCCAAGATGTCGATATCTTATCTAGCACAATTTAGTTTCGTGATACATGTGACGATTGTTATTTATCTATATATTTTGCATTTTGTATGTGACGTCACTATGCTGTTTAAAAACGACCTATTCTTTGGCTTTGGAATTTTCTCGGTTAAACAATGTCGATTTAAGTTTAAAATAATGTTAAGAATATATTTCTTATTATTAAGAGTCGTCTAAATTATAATAAATTTAGAAAACATTTTAATAACTGGCAATCCTATTTGGTTTTTCGAAATCTCCTTTCCATGATCAAAATCATAATATTTAAAATTATCATAATATGCTTTCTCTTATTCATTTATTTTTCTGTTTTGTTTTTTTTTAATATATTTTCTCCCATATAAGGAGCGTTAAAAGATTTAAAAACAATACGAGAAATAATTGTCTTTATTCTATATTCAAGATGGCGGTCGACCTAAAACGTCAGATCGATAATTTTTTGTGCTATACGTGATGGAATTAATTACATCAATTATTCAATACCAAACTTAACAGCTGAATAAGATTTACATACAAAACTCTGTGATATAAAAAATAATAATATTTACAAATAATTTTATCACTAAAAAATATTGACGTAATTTCGACATGTATTTTTAATGCAATATTTTTCATGTTTATTTTTGGATTTTCAAGTTTTTTTTAAATGTAGAACACTGTTGAAAATTTAAATATAGAACACTTTTGAAATTTTATTCGAACAAACTCATCGATTGTCACGTGAGGCATTCTATGTATGTCATTTTGAAATCAACCCAGAGTCATCTTTATAATCATTGCGTGTCAGTTACGAGAAAAAAAAGTACATTTGCAACAACGTTTTCATCACAAACAGTATCTAATGCTTTCGACTAGAACGCGATGATGTATCTCATTAATTATTATAGCCATTATTAATGTACAATTCAATTTCATATACCACCGAATCGATTTTTATTATTTATTCGAATAATCGTATGAAAAAATCGATTTTTTTTATTATTTATGTCATAATTAAGTTATCTCGTGTTAAATTTCATTCGCGTGGTTTAACAAGCAGTAGAAAGCCAAAATTCAAGACCAACATCACCAGTATATCTGACCCCACGACCGGTTTCAGAGTCATTGACCGACGTCATGTGCAACCAGCCTTATAAGTCCCGGGACACACTATGGTATTTTCATGACTTCGATAATATTAATACTTGTGTACTCGTAAAGGGCATCTGGTTTTGAAGGCGACGTAAATGTTTAAACAGACTATTTTAATGACTAGATATGTCACAAATATTGTGTCATAATTTTATACATATGACATAAGGCGATAATAATATGTTATGTCAAAAAAACGTCAATAATTAATAGATTATTGTGAATATTATACTGAATACAATTCGACCTTAGTCTTATTCTAAAAAAAAATAGTTTACAGAATTATTAGTAATAAAATAGTTACAATATCTACAAAATTGAGTTATTTTCGGCTATTAATATGACCTAGTACTAATTATAATGTTATTGTTGATCGCAAATCTCACATAATATAAGGCTTAGTTCACACGAGAGCCAAGGTAACCAAAATCGCGATAGCTCCTGGTAAATGAAGCAGCTAATATAAGTTTTGAATATACGCTCATTATACGACCAAATGACAATGAAAAATGACTTTAATTGCACATGTTCATAGAGTTAATTATCCTTTGAGATTTCATCAAGTTTGAGAACGTTGCATTTTTTTTAGTATGATTATTCTAAGTCCGCATACACACTACATACTACGCGTCTCCCGTTTTTCATTCCGTAATGTAATACTATATGCATATATTTATGAATGGAACACTTTCGTAGTGCTAACAGTTTTCCATTCACACTAGTGTCAATAAAACTTAGAATAAGCTTGCAGGACGTATGCGATGACGTCATAATTATAAAAATTAATATAGTTATTCTTCTTCCTCCTGGCAACCTCCTAGTTGTAGCCAGGGTCTGCTAAGCTGCTAGTTATTATATATAATAAATAATTCTAAATCATCTTTGTAAGTTCTTTTTTAGTTCGTCTTAAATTTAACTCATGTATTTAGTATGGCTATAAAAAGTCCTAACTACCTTCCTAGATGTTCCAACTTCTCCTATACTTGTAAACTATCTTAGTGGTGAGGTTTTTGTTGACTATTAGCTATACCCCGGCTACGTCTGTGCATTATATTTTGTATAATATATAATATTTTTAAAATAACATAGTTACTGTATAGTAAACCAAGATTCGTCAAGATCTGTTCAGTCGTTGATAGATTAGCTGGAACTAGCTGGATTAGCTGGAACTAGCTGGAACTTAGAACAAACAGACAAACGGATATACTAATTAATTATTATTAATGATATTTGTATGTATTTAGTATAATATTTGTATGTATGTACTTAGTAAAAAGTATTATACATATTATAAGGATTTAATTGTAGCCCTATATAATACGAGATTAATTTTGTACTGGAACATTCTTTTAAAATGGTACAGGCTGTGAAAGTGTACTTGATAAATCCTGTACGTACATTTTTTTTTCATATCAAGGTTAACAACATTCTATTGTTATAAGATATAAATTGGATAATAGCGAAACAAAGATTATTTTTTAATTAAGAGAATATATTTACTAGTTAATACTCCCTACTTTGTCCGTCGTGACTTATGAATCGGGTTTAAAGAAGCTAATACATTATGCTTAACTTATATAAGTGTATCGAACTAACAGCGCCATCTGTCATACTGACGTGAAAATACGTCACTAATAATTGTCAAAATCAATTTTTTTCTTTGTAAAACCACCAATCAGCCAGTACGTAGGTATAGTTTTATAAATATACATATATCCTTTTTCGTTAGCCTCTTTTAAAATTCCGCTAACAAAAAAATATATGACTTAAGACTTAAGGTTGTATATATGAACAAAACATCGCAACACGAATTTCAAATTTAACTGGCACAAACATGTCTTCCGCGATTTATTCAGACAAAGAAGATAATGATAATTAATCTTCAAATAAAATATATCAAAAAATAATTTTAGAAATATAAGAGAAAAAAAAATATTGACACAGATAATATAAATATTAATATGAATCCACAGCATATAAATAAATACTATTTATAATTCTTTTAAAATATCAACTCAAAGCAAAACCTAAGGAAGGTTTCGTATGAAATCATTCTCGCAACCTCATCTGTTCTGAATATAAAGTGGTGATTCATCGAGGAACCGTTGGATCGGTCACGTTTAAAGGTTTTATATTATAAATAATAAATAATAATAATAAATTCAGCATGAAGCCTAACCTAACAGAAAATATATTTAAGCTAAACGAAATACAAGCTTATTTAAATATGGAACACTATAAAAAAATAGGCAAAAGATTTTATTTTATGCCGTACTTAAATGAGGCAATCGCTTTTGTACAAAAAAAAATTCAAATTTAGAACCGACCTCGACGGTTAGTTCGTTCTAAATTTAAAAGTATTTTTTTTTTTAATTTGACGTACAATATGTAGGATACTGTCCAAAGTTATTATTACCGAAATTTAATAATGACGATTTATTTGCAAGACGGTGAGAGCTGTGATATTCGTATTGAGGTCGCGACCTCGGCTGTCTTGTATCGAGAACTGAAATATTTGATGTAATTTAGATAATTCCATATTAAGACGATTATTATTACTTATTTTGTACGAAACATATGCTATACGAAAAATAAAATCACTAATACATATACTTGTAGTAATTTTTATTCAAGGATTCCATATTAATATTCGTTATTAATAAATCTACAAAAAAACAACTTAATTGGATAACATGACATTGATTTATACATATTTGAAAGACAAGTTATCTGTAGTTTACGAAAAATATATCTTTTTAAAAGTTTTAATAGTGTCTTAAACGAGAATATTATCCAAAATCTCTTGATATTATTTCTATCTAATTCTTTATAACAACGTATTACTTATGTAATTAAATAAAAAGTATATATAATAGTAATAAATTATGTTTATTTAGCCTGGTTTCATACTGACGTCATAGTACATTGCTTGAATAAAGGATTTTTTTTTTCTT